CGTGCCAACATTCGCATCTTGGGGGTGCCAGAAGGAGGAGAGAACAAGATATCAAAAATCTATTTGAAACAATATAGTGGCAGAAAACTTTCCTAACTTCGTGAAGGAAACAGACATACAAGTCCAGGAAGCACAGAGAGTCCCAAACAAGATGAACCCCAAGAGGCCCACACAAAGACACGTCATCATCAAAATGAAAAGGTTCAAGACAGAGAATCTCTTTTTTTTTAATCCTCACCCGAGGACACTTTTTCATTCTTTGTTCAGATAGAGCAGGAGGGAGAGAGAGAGAGAGAAACATCGATGTGAAAGGGACACATCGAGTGGCTGCCACCCGCACGACCAACCAGGGCCGGGGACAAACTGCAACCGAGGTACATGCCCTTAGCGGGAACTGAACTCGGGTCTCTCCGGACCGCAGGCCGATGCTCTAACCGCTGAGCCAAACCGGCCAGGGCAAGACAGAGAATCTTAAAAGCAGCAAGAGAAAAGCAGTTAGTTACCTACAGGGGAGTTTCCATACGGCTGTCAACTGATTTCTTAAAAGAAACTTTGCAGGCCAGAAGGGAGTGGCAAGAAATATTCAGAGTGATGAAAAGCTAGAACCTACAACCAAGATTACTCTGTCCTCCAAAGCTGTCATTTAGAATCGATGGCCATATAAAGTCTCCTAGCCCTGGCCGATTTGGCTCAGCGGTGAGAGCGTCGGCCTGCGGTCCTGACAGACCCGGGTTCGGTTCCCGCTAAGGGCACGTACCTAAGTTGCAGTTTGTCCCCGGCCCTGGTTGGGTTGTGTGGGTAGCAACTACTCGATGTATCCCTTTCACATCAGTGTTTCTCTCTTTCCCTCCCACTCTATCTGAACAAAATATCCAAAAATGTCCTCAGGTGAGGATAAAAATAAAAGAGTTTCCCAGACAAGAAAAAGTTAAAGGAGTTCATCAGCACCAAGCTGTTATTATATGAAATGTGGAAGGGTCTTTTTGAAGAAAAAGATAAAATATATGAACAAACAAAATGGAAATGAATACATATCTATCGACAATGGAATCGACAAACAAAATGAACAAGCAGAACAGAAACATTCTTATGGATACAGAGAACATTTTATTGGTTGCCAGATGGGAGGGTGTTTGGGGAATGGGTAAAAAAGGTGAAGGGATTAAGAACAAGTTGGTTGCTAGACTGACAAACCTCAAAGAGAAGGGGGTTGAGGGGTGGGAAGAAATAAACCAAAAAACTTATATGCATAACCAATGGACACAGACAACAGTGTGGGAAAAGGCAGGAAGGGGGAGGAGGGGTTCAATGGAGGAAAAATGTGGAACATCTGTAATACATTCAACAATGAAGATAAAAAAAAAATTTATGCCGAATTTCTTTTATGCTGTAACTCTCATTTTTGAATTTTCCTGATTATATTAAAGGTTTTTTTCACTTTCATTATTAAGGCCTTTCTCTTCTTTGTTATTAAATAATAGATTATTTTCATTTGTTTTTGGACATGTCTTCTTGTGTGGTTTTTTTTTTTTTGTTTTTTTTGTTTTGTTTTGTTTTTTAATTTATTTTATCTTCACCCAAGGACATTTTTCCATTTTTTGTTCAGATAGAGTGGGAGGGGGAGAGAGAGAGAGAGAAACATCGACGTGAAAGGGACACATCGAGTGACTGCCACCTGCACTACCCATCCAGAGCCGGGGACAAACTGCAACCGAGGTACGCGCCCTTAGCAGGAGCTGAACCCGGGTCTCTCTGGACCACGTAGCCAAACCGGCCAGTGGTCTTCTGTGTTTTTGTTGTCTGTCCTTTTTTCTTATAATAATTTTTGTATGGTCTGGGCACAATATTTTTCTGTTTGTTTCTGCATGAGGTTAGTTTTCTTGAAGGATCCTGGTTCAGGAAAGTTTTTCCAAAGTCATGGCTCTGGAGGTCCCTCTTCTGTTGTGTTTGTGAAGTGCTGAAAAGATGGGCGGCTGATTTAATGAAATCAGGTCTGTTCCCCTCCTGTGCTTTCATCTTGACCATTGTTTCCCTTTCTTCTCTTTTCTTTATAGTCTGTGTACTCAGTATGGGTTCTGATTTCTACAAATTTTTCTTTCTTTTTTTTTTCGTGTTAATACTCACCTGAGGATATTTTTTCATTGATTTTTAGAGAGAGTGGGGGAGAGGGAGAGAGAGCAAGAAACATCAGTGTGAGAGAGAGAGACATAGATTGGTTGCCTCTTGCAGGACCCCAACTGGGGCCAGGGATTGAACCTGCAACCCAGGTATATGCACTTGACTGGGAATCAAGCCCAAGACCCTTCTGTCCCTAGGCTGACACGCTTAACTGCTGAGCAAAATGGCCAGGGCTCTACTAATTTCTTAGTGTGAGACTTTGTCCTAAAAAACAGTTGTAGATGGTTAGTTTGGATTGAAGTGTGCTGAACTCCTCTTGGTTTCAGCTGCCCTTCTGAAATAGGCCCTCAACTTCCTAGTGAGTTCTTGTTGGTTCTTCTGGGGAGTCTCGAGTTTGGCAGATGGTCCATGCTGATATCATGCACTCTGTGACAACCCTGCCCCTTGTATCTTCAGTTTCATGGGCTTACCTTGTTACCTAGTGTGTTGTAGAGATCATCCTAGGGTTATCTCTTAGTTTTTTTGAGTGGGTTTGGGATGGGATTTAAGAAGATTAAAAAACTATACTGCCACTACCACCATGTTTTGAAAAACCTTCTAAAAACAGTTTTAAATAATTAAAGACCTAAAATAGAAGATTGACGTATGTTGGTCAGGACAATAGATATGTGGTTCTTTGTATTGTTCCTCTATACTTTTCTGTATGCTTACAAATAAAAAGACCAGGACCAAATCTAGTAATGTAGGATGAGAATAATTTTGTCATAACCAAGAAGGGTCAAGCAGTCATATACTTTTTTGTTTGTTTCTTTTTTTAATCCTCCCCTGAAGATATTTTTCCAGATTTTCAGATAGAGTGGGAAGGAGGGAGGGAGGGAGAGATACATCGATGTGAGAGAGACACATTGATTAGTTGCCTCCTGCACGACCCCTACTGGGGATCAAACCTACAACTGGTACACACCCTTGACCCGGAATCAAACTTGCCACTCTGGTCCACGGGCTGATGCTCTAACCACTGAGCACACGGACCAGGGCTTTAGTTCTAATGTGTATGTTTTGATGTCCCTCCTCCCCTTTCTTGCTTCACTGCACTGGTTAGAATCCCTGATACAGTATTTAGTAAGAATGCAAGAGTATACGTCCTTGTATTCCGCCTTTCATCTTATGTTTGATGTTAGTGGTAAGTTTTGTAGATGTCCCTTGTCAAGTTGAGGGTGTTCCCTTCTATTTCTAATTTGCTGAGAGCTTTTATCCTGAACAGATGTTAACTTTTATGAAATGCTTGTTATGTATCTATTAAAATGATTCCATTTTATGGTTTTTCTTCTTTAGTTTAATGTGGTGAATTATATTGATTGTTTTCTGAACTAACCTTGCATTCCTGAGATAAACCTTCCTAGTCATGATGTGTTCTTTTCATGCATTGATGGATTATTTGCTAAACTTTTGTTAAGTCATTTTTAGTTTGTGTTCATCAGAGATTTTGGTGTGTTTTTTCTTGTAATGTTGTGTAATGCAATGTCTTTGTGTGGTTTTTGTGTCAAAGTAATGCTGGGCCTGGTAGAATCTGTTGGAAAGTGTTCTGGAAGAGTTTGTATGGAATTGGTATTATTTCTTCCTTAAATGTGTGATGGAATTCACAGTGAAATCATCTAGGCCTGGTAATAGGACTACTCAGGAATCTTTTTTTTTTTTAAATCCTCACCAGAGGACATTTTTGACATTTATGTTCAGATAGAGCGGGAGGGAGATGGGGGGAAGAAAGAGAGAGAGAGAAACATCGATGTGAGAGAGACTCATCGATGGGTTGCCACCCACACGACCCCAACCGGTGCTGGGGACAAACTGCAACCGAGGTACGTGCCCTTAGCAGGAACCAAACCCGGGACTCTCTGGTCCATGGGCTGACACTCTAACTGCTGAGCCAAACCGGCCAGGGCAGGATATCTACTTTTTATGGAGTGAGCTTTGGTAGCTTGTGTCTTAAGGAATTTGTCCATTTTATCTAAGTAAAAAAAATTTGCTGGCATAGTTGTTCATGTCATTCCTATATTATCCTTTAAAAAAAAATATATATATATATATATACACACACACACACACATATATATATATATATATATATATAGATTTTTAGAGAGAGAGGACGGGAGAGGGAGAGAAAGAGAGAAACATTGATTGGCTGCCTCCTGCATGCCCCCTCCCAGGGATCGAGCTTACAACTCAGGCATGTACCTTGACCAGTACTCAGACCTGTAACTGTTTGGTGTATGGGACGATGCCCAACCAACTGAGCCACACTAACCAGGGCCTTTTATTATCCTTTTAACATTTGAAAGATAGGTGGTTATGTCCCCTCTCCACTTGTTCATACTGGTAATATATATCATGGCTGTGTTTTGTTGATGAGTCTAGAGATTTATTTCATTTTGTTTGGTTTTCATGATTTTATTTCATTTTTTATCTCAAGACTAAATGTTTTTCTCTATTATTTTTCTGCTCAATTGATATCTGCTTTTATTGTGTTTTTTTTTTTTTAATTTTGGATTTAATTTTCTGTTTCTAGTTTTATAAGGTAGAAACCTAGATCTTTTAAAAAAAATAATTTTTTCTTTTTAAATAAATATTTAATTCTGTAACTTTCCTTCTAAGCTTTGCTTTTTATAGCATCCTACAAATTTTGCTACCTTTTGGATACTAATTTCAGCTTAATCGTATTAATGTTGGGGAATATGGCCTATATGAAATAGGCTTTGAGCTTTTGAGACTGACTTTATGATGTAAGATGGAAGAGTCATATCTCAGTCATATCTGTTATAATTTTATTTACATTTGGTAATAAATATTAAATCTTTGAGTTTTGTATTTCTTTATTTCAGGTCTTGGTATGGTAACTCCTGTTAATGACCTTAGAGGATCTGATTCGATTGCCTATGACAAAGGGGAGAAGTTATTACGGTGTAAATTGGCAGCATTTTACAGACTGGCAGATCTTTTTGGGTGGTCTCAGCTTATCTACAATCATATCACAGTGAGTATTGGGTGGGATAGTAACTGAATGATAAGGAGTGGTGTCTGGTCCCATCTCTTCTTCTTTTTTAATCCTCACCTGAGGATAGTTTTTTATTTATCTTCAGATAGAGTGGGAGGGAGAGAGGGGGAGAAAAAGGGAGAGAGAGAAACATCAAAGTGAGAGGGACACATTGACTGGTTGCCTCCTGCATGACCCGACCAGGGCCAGGACCAACTGCAACTGAGCTACGTGCCCTTGACCAGAATCTAACCCATGACTCATTGGTCCGCAGGCGACGTTCCACCACTGAGCCAAAGTGGCCAGAGCTGGTTCCACCTCTTCTGTTTAGGAGAAGGGGGAGCCACTGAGCCAAATCGGCAGGGTGAGAACAGTAGTTCTTTAAACACCTTTCTTGCATGCTAACTTAATAAATTAGTGTATACCAAACATAGGCAGTTTTTAAAATCTTTTTTATGCCTAAAAACTTAAGAATGAAGCTGTTTTCTTTCCTTCTAGCTCTTATTTTACTTCTTTAGTTACTCCAATTTTTAGCCATTTTTCAACATTATCAGGACCTCTTTTTTTTTAAAGTTCATTCTTAAATAGATGTTTACTGGGTGTCTGCTGTAAATACTTATTATTCTGTACCAAACATTGTTCAAACTCTGAATGAAACATGCCCTGCCTCTGTGGATCTTCCCTTTTATCCAGTCCATCAGCCCCTAATCACTCCCTGTGTTGTCCAGCTGGAATTCATGGTCCGTTGTCTCAGGAATACTTTACCAGCACCAGCCTTCCCTCTCTGGACCTGAGCAGCCAGATCCCCTTGCAGAGCCAACGGCAGAGCCATTGGCCTTCTGCATAGATCTGCAGCCCTGGTCTCCAGAGGACCCACCACACTGCCTGGCAGCTGTAGGACATGTCTCAAAAGCTCACTCAGACTTCCTGTTTTTTCTACTCCTTAAATTCCTACTCTCCTTCACCCAGTAAGTGACCATGTTGTGTCACAGAGAAAATGAGAACAACTTACTGGTGTAAGTCGATCTGAACCCTTCTACACTCCCGATCACCTGTCACAGTGTCCGTGCTAATGGCCAACCCTGCTCTAGAATTCCATCCCCTTCTGCCTTCTTCAAGTCCTAATTCATCATCAGGTTTCGGGGGATTTTTTGCTCTTTTGGAAATAGCCTCATTGAATTGCTTTCTTCCTTTGACTTTTAAACGTGTTCCAATATTTGTTTTTTCATTTAATTTCTTTTATTGGGCTGTTTTATTTATTTATTTATTTATTTTTTATCCTCACCCGAGGATATTTTTCCGTTTTTTGTACAGATAGAATGGGAGGGAGAGAGAGGAAGGGAGAGAGAGAGAAACATCGACGTGAAGGGACACATCGAGTGGCTGCCACCCACACGACCAACCAGGGCCGGGGACAAACTGCAACCGAGGTATGTGCCCTTAGCGGGAACCGAACCCGGGTCTCTCTGGACCGCAGGCCGACGCTCTAACCGCTGAGCCAAACTGGCCAGGGCTATTGGAATGTTTTAAATTATTAATATAGTTCCTGCTTATAGTAACAAGTGTCCCTTGCACAGTTGTCTGAAGAAGAGTTGTAACCCTGCCAATACTCTCCTCTCCCCTGAGGCAACCAGTATTAGCAGCCATTTAGATGGTCTTACCCTTTTCTCCATACTATGCACACACACACACACACACACACACACACACGTGCTTTTTACATGTGGATTCAACCCAGTTCTTAGTTCAGCTCCTTTCTGGACTCTAAGGAATGCTAAACCTCTGAGGTGGTCTGGAGCCCACCTTTGTGACCAGTACACTGTGCTTCTGGGATAGGATGTGTATCTTTGGCAGAGATACTGATTTTCAGTGAGTGACCTTAAGATGTGTGACATTAGAGTTAGTTCCTTGTACACAGAGAAGAGATATTAGTCGTGTGGGAAGACATGCGGGAAAGCTGGTACTAACTAGTCCATCGGGGACTAGAAAACTGAAATGTCCTTCTCTCATTTATCACTTTACATCTGTATTTAGCCCTTTTTCTTTGCTTCAGACTCAGAAAATCATGTATTTTAAACTTTTCCCACTAAAATATGTAGCTCTGTTAAACACACTCTTAGAAATAATGTTAAGAAGAAAGAAGAAGCGAACGAAGAAAACGTGATATATATATTTATTATAGCCTTATCGAATAGTGAAAAATTTTTAGAGTCTAAATATCCAACAGTAGATGGACATAGCTCAGTTATTCAACATCAGTCTGAGGGAATGTTATACACCAAAGACCATGTGAAAACATGGAAACAAAAGAATGATTATTATAAAAGAGAAAATACACAATATATAGTTTATAGTTGTGTGAATTATATATATATGTATATATATGTACACACACATATATACACACACACAAAGGATAAAGAAGTGAATAAAAATGGCTGTGTGGTATTTTTTATTTTATTATTTTTTAAAATATGTTTTTATAGAGTTTTAGAGAGAGGAAGGGAGAGGGAGGGAGAGAGAAACATCGATGAGAGAGAAACATTGATCGGCAGCCTCCTGCACGCCCCACAATAGGGATCGAACCCATAACCCGGGCATGTGCCCTGACTGAGAATCGAACCAGTGACCTTTTTGGTGCATGGGACGATGCTCAACCACTGAGCCACACCAACTGGGCTGCAGAGTATTTTTTATTCTTTTTTTTTTTTTTAATCGTCACCCAAGGATATTTTTTTCCATTTATCTTCAGATAGAGTGGGAGGGAGGGAGGGAGAGAGAGAGAGATAGCAAGACAGAGAAACATTGATGTGAGAGAGACACATCGACCAGTTGCCTCCTGCATGACCCTGACCAGTGCCAGGGACAAACAGCAACCGTGGTACGTGCCCTTGACCAGAATTGAACCCTCAACTCTTTGGTCCATGGGCCGACGGCTCTAACCACTGAGAAAACTGGCCAGGGCCGTAGTATTTTTTAAATGTGAGACCTGATAGTATGCTTTTAAAATTTATATGGAAGATAAAAGACCAAGAATAGCTATGACACTCCTGAAGAGCTAGGTAAGGAGATTTTTTCCCCTACCAAATGTCAAACTTACAGTGATGCTAATTAAAATAGTCTGCACTGGGCAAAAGAAGAGACAAATAGACCAGTGGAACAAAACAGAAAGCCCAGAACCAGATCTAGGAGAGTCAGCACTGCAGGTCAGTGGGGGAGGGTGGACTCGCCAATAGTGGATGCTGGCACAGTTGGATTGAAAACAGAATTGGACAGCTGTGCTGGAGCCCTACCTTACACTATATATTCTCACAAAGCAATTCCAGTGAATTAAATGTGAAAGGATTAAATGTGCAAAGTAATACGTGAAGAATTTTAGGGTCTATATAGGTGAAAATCATTGACCTTTTTAAACCTCTGACTTAAGGAAAGATGTCTTAAGACATAAAAGCACCTGTCAGGAAAGATGGATGAATTTGACTACATTAAAATGAACAAATTTTTTTATCATTAAAAGACACCACAAAGAAAGTGAAAATAAAGCTAAAACTTGCACGATTTTACTTCATAGGTATCCAACAAAAAATTAGATCTAGAACAGATGAAGAACTGTCAAGAAAAAAAAAAGACAGCCTGGTATAATATGGAACAAAAGACAAGAAAGGAATTTCACAGGAGAAATAAGAATGGCTTGCTCTGGCTGGTTTGGCTCAGCGGTTAGAGCGTCACCCCGCGGACCAGAGAGTCCCGGGTTGGGTACTCTAAGGGCATGTACCTCGGTCACAGTTTGACCCTGCCCCAGTTGGGGCCATGTGGGTGGCAGCCAGTCGGTTGATGTTTCTCTCTCTCTCTCTTCCTCTCTCTTTCTCTCCCACTCTGACTGAAGATAAGTGTAAAAATGTCCTTGGGCAAGGATAAAAAAAAGAAAGAATGAAAGAAAGAAGAATGGCTCATAGAAATATGAAAATTTGCTCAATTTATTTGTAACCAGGAAATTGTACATTAAAATCACAATGGAATACCATTTCCCAGACATTCGGTTTTAATTTTTGAAAAAGATGGTTGCAGAACCACAGAACTATCATGTTCTACTGGTAGGAGTGTACTTTTTGTTGTTGTTGTTGTTAATCCTCACCCGAGGACATTTTTTCATTTTTAGTTTAGATAGAGTGGGAGGGAGAGAGAGGAAGAGACAGAGAGAAACATCGACGTAAAAGAGACACATTGACTGGTTGCCACCCACACAACCCAACCAGGGCCAGAAACAAACTGCAACCGAGGCACATGCTCTTAGTGGGAACCAAACCCGGGTCTCTCCAGACTGCAGGCCAATGCTCTAACCGCTGAGCCAAACCAGCCAGGGCAGGAGTGTACATTTAATTAGGTCCTTTGGAAAATAATTTAGTATCACCTCCTACTTTATTTCATGGAGGAACTTGCACATGAACACGAGTTCCTAACATTGTTTTTTTTTTTAATCCTCACCTGAGGACATTTCTCCATTTTTTGTTCAGATAGAGTGGGGCGGGGGGGGGAGGGGGGCATCGATGTGAAAGGGACATCACCCGCCACCCGCACGACCCAGCCAGGGCTGGGGACGAACTACAACCGAGGTACATGCCCTTAGCGGGAACCGAACCTGGGTCTCTCTGGACCATAGGCCGACGCTCCAACCGCTGAGCCAAACCGGCCAGGGCCTAACATTGTTTTTGATAGCAGAATGGAAACCGTGTCCATTGACGGGAGAATGGCTACATAAATTGTATGTTCATCCATGTATACTATACACATGAAAATGAGTGACAGCTACGAACATTGTAGTCGGGAGGAGCCTTACAAATTATGTTGACAGCTCAATAGAAAACAATCCGATCAAAAAATGTGCAGAGGACACGAAAAGACCTTTCTTTTTTTTTTTTTAATTCTCACCCGAGGACATTTTTTCATTTTTTGTTCAGATAGAGTGGGAGGGAGAGAGACGAAGCGAGAGAGAGAGAAAAACATCGACGTGAAAGGGACACATTGAGTGGTTGCCACCCGCACGACCCAACTAGGGCTGGGGACAAACTGCAACTGAGGTACATGCCCTTAGTGTGAACCAAACCCAGGTCTCTCTGGACCGCAGGCTGACGCTCTAACTGCTGAGCCAAACCAGCCAGGGCAGAAAGACCTTTCTTTAAAGAGATTGCACAGATGCCAATAGACATATGAAAAGGTGCTCAACATCACTTATCTTCAGAGAGATGCAAATCAGACCACAGCGAGATTCTCCTCACCTGTCAGAATGGCCACCATCAATAAATCCACAAGTGTTGTCAAGGTTGTGGGGAAAAGGGAACTTTCTGGTGCCTTTCGATGGAAATGCAGACTGGTGCAGCCACTGTGGAAAGCAGTATGTAGGTTTCTCAAAGAATTAAAGATAAAACTACTATAACAATACAACAATTTTACTTCTGGGTATTTATCCAAAGAAAACTAAAACATTAATTTGAAAAGATATATGCACCCCTATGTTTATTGCAGCTTTATTTACAATAGCCAAGACGTGCAAGCAACCTAGGTGTCCGAAGAATTGGTGTGTATATACAATGGAATATGACTCAACCATAAAAAGAATGCAATCTTGCCCTGCCGGTTTGGCTCAGCGGATAGAGCGTCAGCCTGCAGTCCAGGGAGACCTGGGTTCGGTTCCTGCTAAGGGCATGTACCTCGGTTGCAGTTTGTTCCTGGCCCTGGTTGGGCCCTGCAGGAGGCAGCCACTCGATGTGTCCCTTTCGCATTGATGTTTCTCTCTTCTCTCTCTTCCTCCCACTCTATTTGAACAAAAAATGGAAAAATGTCCTCGGGTGAGGATTAAAAAAAAAAAAAAATGAAATCTTGCCATTTGCAACAACATGGATGGACCTAGAGGTTATTATGCTCAGTAGAATCAGACAGAAAAGACAAATACTTTATGGTTTTAATTACATGTGGAATCTAGAAGAAAATAATTTAGAAAATAAAACAAAAGCAGATTCATAAAAACAGAGATCAAAGTGATGGTTACCAAGAGGGGAGGGATTGGAAGGATGGATGGAGAAGGTGAGGGAATTATGGTGAAAAATACTGTGATGAGTTTGCACAGTGACAGATGATGACTAGACTTAGTGGGATGATCACATTGTAAGGCATGAAAATGTCATCACTTATATTGTATACCTGAAACTAATATAACTAATATATTGTATATCAAATATACTTAAATAAAATGTTGGAAAAAAGTTGACTGCAAATTACATAGAGTATGATTCCAGTTATATGAAGTTCATAAAAATAAAAATTAGACTATATAGCTTAGGGATGAATAGATATAAAGAAAAGAAAAGAAAGTGCTTAATACAATTCAGGAATGTGGTTACTTCCAGGCTGTGGGGGGAGAGAAGTGGAGCTTCAGAGACACTAGACCTATTTCTGAAGCTGGTTGAAAGGTCCATGGGAGTGTGATTTCTTTCCTTTTTTTTTTTTTTTGTACAGACAGAGTGGGAGGGAGAGAGAGAGGGAAACATCGATGTGAAAGGGACACATCGAATGGCTGCCACCCGCACGACCAACCAGGGCCGGGGACAAACTGCAACCGAGGTACATGCCCTTAGCGGGAACCGAACCCGGGTCTCTCCGGACCGCAGGTGGACGCTCTAACCGCTGAGCCAAACTGGCCAGGGCTCTTTCCTTTTTTTAATCTTCACCTTAGTGCAGACATGGTTAGAGAGAGGAAGGGGAAGAGAGAGAGATGTGGGAGAGAAACATCGGTTGGTTGCCTTTTGTACATACGCCAACCGGGGATTGAACCTACAACCCAGGTATGTACCCTGACCAGGAATCGAACTGGCAACCTTTTGGTGCATAGGACGATGCTCAACCACTGAGCCACTCCAGATGGGTGGGTGTGTGCTTTCTTACACTTAAATTGTACACCCATCCTCTAATGCTCTATATGTATGTTTCAGAATAAAAACTTAAAGTAAGCAAAAACATCTGACATTTAATTTTTTCTTATTTTCAACCTTATTTTTTTTTCATTCCAACTAATACACAAAACAATTCCTTGTTTTATGTTTTGTTTTGACCTAACTTGGGAATTGGGGCAATTGTGTGGCTTTATTTTATATAATTAAAAAGATCAGCCTGTTTTTTTAAATAAAGGAGCAGACTAGAAATGAAAAGCCTGGCTAACTCTGCATTAGTGGGAAGGTTTTAGGAAAGGTGGTACCGTGTGTACATATTGAGACAACTGGAAGAGAACCCAGAGTTAGGCAGTAGGTGTTTACAAGGAGCAGGTTCATTGTTGGTGCTGGCTCTCTATTGGTGCTCCTACACTATCCGTGACAGTATGAGCGAGGCTATGCTGTTCATTGAGCTCTTCAGCGGGAGTGCAAGCCGGTCGCCCCCACATGTGGGTCAGGAGCCCAGGGTGCCCAAAGAAGCAGAGCCCGTCTTGGTGGAGCTAGGGTTTCTTTTGTTTTTTTTTTTATCCTCACCCGAGGACATTTTTGCATTTATCTTCAGACAGAGTGGGAGGGAGAGAGGGAGGAAGAGAGAGAGAGAAACATCCACATGAGACACATCAACTGGTTGCCACCCACATGGCCCCAATTGGGTCCTGGGACAAACTGCGACCGAGGTATGTGCCCTTAGCAGGAACTGAACCCTGGACTCTCTGGTCCGTGGGCTGATGCTCTAACTGCTGAGCCAAACTGGCCAGGGCTAGGATTTTTTTTTTATATCCTCACCTGAGGACATTTTTTCTTTTCTTTTTTTTTTTCTTGTTCAGATAGAGTGGGAGGCCCTGGCCAGTTTGGCTCAGCGGTTGAGCATCGGCCTGAGGACCAGAGAGTCCCGGGTTCGGTCCCCGCTAAGGGCATGTACCACCAAAAAAAAACCCAAAAAACAAAAAACAAACAACAGATAGAGTGGGAGGAAGAGAGAGAGAGGGAGAGAGAAATGTCGATGTGAAAGGGACACATTGAGCCAAACCAGCCACTCAAGGATATCTTTTTACTGATTTTAGAGAGAGAGAAATATTGGTTGATTGCTCCCTGTATGTGCCCCAACAGGGGATCGAACCCAAAACCTAGGTATGTGCCATGACTGGGAATGAAGTCCGCAACCTTCTGGTGCATGAATGACACTCCACCCCACTGAGCCAACCATCCAGGGCATGAAGTTAGGATTTTGACTAAAGCCTTCTATGACTGGTGCCCAGTAAAGGCTGCTGAGAGAACCAAGCAAGTTCAGCAGGAAGGCACCAGCAGTGGGACAGTCTCAGCTGAGAATTAAATGGTAGATAGAACTGGTTCTATATTGTGTGCTAGAAACTGTGGGAAGGCAGGAGAGAACTGTTAGTGATTGGGTCTCCAGCTTGCATGCTGTACCCCAGCCTGAGGATGCTGGAGGTGCTCAGGGACTGCTAAATGAAGAATTGAGGATGTGGTGTGCATCCCTATTACTACAGCTGCCAGACACACCCTATGTGTTTTCTGCTCCACCACAGGAAGCTGACTGAATGCCTCAAGGCCTTTTCAGCAAACAGCAAGCTCCACCTGCCTGACCCTAGACACAATTCTTTTTTTTTTTTTTAAATCCTCGCCTGAGGACATTTTTTTTTTCCATTTTTTGTTCAGATAGAGTGGGAGAGAGAGAAGGGAAGAGAGAGAGAGACATCTACGTGAAAGGGGCACATCTAGTGGTTGCCACCCGCACGACCAACCGAGGTACGTGCCCTTAGTGGGAACCCAACCTGGGTCTCTCTGGACCGCAGGCCGGCGCTCTAACCCCTGAGCCAAACCGGCCAGGGCAAGACACAATTCTTAGCCCAAAGGCATTATAAAAATGAAACCGAATTTCTTGGAGGGCAGGGCTCTCCTTTTTCCTGCTTTATTACTAACGTGTGTATGTTACAGAGTACGTGCCTACTCTGTTTGGGAGGAGTGGAGGAAAGGAAACTGCTGGAGCACACAAGCCACAGAGACTCTGAAAGTGGTCAGGCAGCAAGGAGTTGTGCATTCTCCTACAGGTTTTGAGTACTAAAAACAAGCTGTTTGACTTTTAAAAAGTAACTTGGGTTTTCATTGTCACATACCTGAGGAGGAACACATCTTTGCATGGGCCACTGTCTTGGTTGCCACCCGGTTTTTCTCTATAAAGGTAGTTATGAATGTGACCAAGGTGTACTTTATGCATCTGATAAATTACTACAATAAATGCTGTATTTTGTATATATGTTCAACAAACCCGAGTTTGTGGCCTGAAAGAGAGGTAAATAATTTCAATTGGATATCACACTAACTCGTCCTGTCCCCACAGACTAGAGTGAGCTCCGAGCAGGAACACTTCCTCATTGTACCGTTTGGGCTTCTCTACAGTGAAGTGACTGCATCCAGTTTGGTAAGAATGTCCTTTTCCTCTTGAGTGTCATGAATGTGTAGGTCACACTACTTAAATAAACCCTTCTAATCCTGTCAGGCATAGAAAACCCAAGAAAGACGAGAAACTCGGTGTTTTGTGTAATTAACTCAAAAACCTCTAAAATTAGTTATAAACACTTTAAAATGCGATTTAAATAATTTTTAGTTAGGGTAATTTGAAGTCCTTTTGACGTTGGAATTTTTTGGTTTCTTATTTTCAGGTGAAAGTCAATTTCCAAGGAGACATTGTAGACCGCGGAAGCACTAATCTAGGAGTGAATCAGGCTGGCTTCACGCTACACTCTGCTATCTACGCTGCAAGGCCGGACGTGAAGTGTGTGGTCCACATCCACACGCCGGCAGGGGCTGCGGTGAGTGTGGCTGCAGCTCACTGCAGTGTGAGCGCTGTCTGGTGAGGCCTGCAGGTTTCCCTGGATGTGCCTCTCATTTGCAGTAAGTCTGTACCCTAACTTTATTGGGTTAGAAAAGTGTTTTGCTCACTAAATTCAACTTTCTTAAGAGAAAGGGGTTTATATACTGCAAAACCCAAGAGACTGAAAATGCCCATTAGATTTGCAAATCAGGAAATTAGAGCCTGTTGACTGAGGAGGTCAGATCTGAGCGTGATCAACATGGTGGGGAGTGCAGAATGACAGCAGTGACTCCAGAGCCCTTTTGGAGAGGAGGGAAGGCAGGTGGGTGGGTAAGGGTGCTGTGGGCTCAGGGGAGGGTCAGTGGTCTAAAGGAACTGGAGTGTGCTGAGGTGCTATGGGGACAGAGCCAGTGGAACCCAGGCTGGATTGTGCCTCAGGGAATCAGAAGAAGGCGCAGGAGGGCACAGTAGTGCAGGATGTGGAGAGCTGGCCTCCAAGTCTAAGTCTACAGCCCCCCAGGGGCCTCCCCTAGCCCATCATCCTGCTGTGATCTGCTGGTGCGCACAACCCCTGATAGTGAGCCCTCTCAGTGTGGAAACACATGTTCGGGTTGCTGGTACAGCTGTGTGAAAGCGGAACACTCTAGAATTATCTGGAGTTGGCTTCTTATCACCATTTTAATGACTTTATGGGATTGTTTGTACAACAGGTGACCTTACTGATTCAGTAATACCGAATTTTAACCTTTTGATGTTTTGATTTGTTTGGATGAGGGATAGCTCTAGTCTATTTTACTTTGAAGATAATGGTTCTTGGTGTTATCATCAGTTTTTTGATGTTGTTACTCCTCACCTTGGGATTTTAGATAGAGTGGAAAGGAGGGAGGGGGAGAGAGAGAGAAACATCAATGTGAGAGAGACACATTGATTGGTTGCCTCCCACACAACCCCAACCGGGGCTTGGGATCGAACTTGCATCCCAAGCACATGCCCTTGACTAAGAATTGAACCCAATACCCTTCAGTCTGCTGGCCGACACTCTAACCACTGAGCAAAACTGGCCAGGGCTCAACATCAGTTTTATTAGATATAGTATTCTCTGAAGGATGTGATTTTTTTCGTAAAACCCAAGAGCTATTAGAGGTATCTAACAGCAACAATGTAATTTGTTTTTAAAATTATCACAACTTTTTTTTTTTTTATCCTCACCAGAGGACATTTTTCCATTTTCTGTTCAGGTAGAGTGGGAGGGAAAGAGAGGAACAGAGAGAGAGAGAGAGAGAGAGAAACATCGATGCGAAAGGAACACATCGAGTGGCTGCCACCCGCACAACCGACCAGGGCCGGGGACAAACTGCAACCGAGGTACGCGCCCTTAGCGGGAACCGAATCCGGGTCTCTCAGGACCGCAGGTCAACGCTCTAACCGCTGAGCCAAACGGACCAGGGCTAAAATTATCACAACTTTATAAGGAAATTTTTTAAAGTTGATACTGTGAAAGGCATGAAATATAGCATTGTCTTTTTTTGTTTTGTTTTTTTAATCCTCACTCGAGGATATTTTTCCATTTATTTTCAGACACAGTGGAAGGGAGGGAGGGAGAGAAACATCGATGTGAAAGAGACACATCGATTGTTTGCCTCCTGCACAGCCCCGACCAGGGCCGGGAACCAAACTGCAACCCAAGGGACGTGCCCTTGACCGGAATTGAACCTGCAACTCTCTGGTCCACAGGCTGATGCTCTAACTGTTGAGCCTAACTGACCAGGGCGGTATTGTCTTTTTATTTTTATTTATTTATTTTAGCAGAAACATTTAAAAAAAATTTTTTTTTATTTATTTTAGAGAGAGAGAAAGGGAGAGGGAGAGAGAGGTAGAAACATGGATGAGAGAGAACATTGATTGGCCGCCTCCTTCATGCCCCCAACTGGGGATTGGGCCCTTAACCTGGGCATGTGCCCTGACCGGGAATTGAACTGGCGACCTCTTGGTGCGTGGGTCAATGCTCAACCACTGAGCCACACACTGGCCAGGTGGTATTGTCTTTTCAGATTAACTTTTCTGCATGGAATTGTTACACCTACAGACAGATATTTGATTCTTTGGAGCCTATTAATCTGGATTTTAGATATAGGACCTTAAAAATTAGCATATTCTAAAGTCAGTTTGGGAAATTTAAGGAAACTTAAGGACTGTATGAACAGTTAGATTTTTTTTTTTCTTAAATAAATGTAAAGAAATTATAGAGTATAATTATCCTAAACTTTTGCAAATTTGCCTTCATCTGACTTTCAGGTGTTTTGATCCCATCTGCAACCTAAGAGGAGAAGCACATCAACCCTTAGAGCACTTCACGTCCCGTTCTTGGCAAGGCCGTGGTGCATTCAGAGGGAGCTGCTGTCTGTCCTGCATTGATCGGGCTCCCCTTAGCTTTATGTCTGAGCTTATGCGGCATTTATTGGCACTGTGGGAGAAATCCAGATGTGGAATTTCTCTTGGTGCTCTCCCAGCTTAGTGATAGCTTGCGTTTTTAATTGTACATTGGTAGTAAGCCCCAGAAGTCAGAAGTAACAGTTTTGTAAAGCTCATGGGTTCATCTATTTCTGAGAAGAGAACAAGATTAACTCTGTTCTTTTTTATTTCTTTGAGGAAGCATCAGTCAGCATGCGCCCTACTCAGTGGACTGCTTGTTTTCTAGGTCTCCGCCATGAAGTGCGGCCTCTTGCCCATCTCCCCTGAGGCACTTTCCCTTGGAGAAGTGGCTTATCATGATTATCATGGGATTTTGGTTGATGAAGAAGAAAAGGTTTTAATTCAGAAAAATTTGGGGCCTAAAAGCAAGGTCAGTAGCCATGTGATCTGATATTTAAATTATGAAGGGAAAAAGGAGCAAGGGAAGTATCAGTGTTCTTGACTAGCTCCATGGAACTTTCATGTTTCCTGCTCAGGTTCTCATTCTCCGGAACCATGGGCTGGTGTCCGTCGGAGAGAGCGTTGAGGAGGCCTTCTATTACATCCACAACCTTGTGGTTGCATGTGAGATCCAGGTAAGTGGTGCCATTCCATCTGCAGTTTATTTAGATGTTTTCAGGGTTCCCATTATCTTCTGATACTGGTTTTGTAGAGTTGAGTCTTTGAGCAATCTCTTTGCCACATCTGAGCTCATGGGTGTGGAACTCGACCAGGGCAAATGCCATTTCACCGATTTAGGTTGGCCGACGGTAATTTTTTATTTTTCAAAAACGCAAGTCACTACCAGTTATGGAGTCCTGGTGTTCCAGCCCCGGTATCAGGTGCTTTACATGTACTATTACATGGTATTCGTTTGCTATTTCATGGCACTCTTTTTGAAAAAAACAGGTGCAGAGAGCTAGAGACTTGCCCATAGTCTCATGGCTATAAGTGCCTCTTGCACCAGCTCTGCTCAGCCCCAGGCTGGTCCTGTCTGTTGCTCTGACTTGTGTCTTCACAGTGGTGCTTTCCCCACTCTGCACTGGATGCTTGTGGAAGGAGCTTTGTTTCCACTGCTCCTCCAAGTGAGCGTGCCCAGTATTGTTGTTGGGCTAAAGAAAAACTTCTGAAATAACTGTATTATAAAATTTATCATGTAGGTGTTTATTCATTTACTTTAAACATTTATTGATTTTTAGAGAGAGGAAAGTTGGGGGAGAAAGAGAGAAAAAGAAACAGAAACATTGATTTGTTTTTTTATTTTATTTATTTAATTTTATTTTTGTTACAGATATTTCTCCTTTTTTACCCCATTGACACCCTCCTCCCCATCTCCCTCCCTGCCCCGTCCCTGGCTTTGTTGTCCATGTCCATTGGTTATGCATACGTGCATATAAGTTCTGTGTTATCTCTTCCCACCCCCCAACCCCCCTCTTCTGAGGGTTGTCAGTCTGTACCCTACTTCCGTGTTTCTGGGTCTACCCTATTCCTCAGACTGTTATATTCATTATATTCCATATATAAGTGAGATCATGTGGTATTTGTCTTTTTCTGCTTGGCAGAAACATTGATTTGTTACTCCACATATTTATGCATTCATTGGTTGATCTTTTTTGGTGGGGGTATGTGCTCCTAGCAGAACCAGACCCAGGACTCTCTGGTCCGCAGGCTGACGCCCCAACTGCTGAGCCAAACCGGCCAGGGCCATTGGTTGATTCTTGTATGTGCCCTGAGTGGGAGTAGAACCCACAACCTTGATGTATCAAAGCGATGCTCTAACCAACTGAGCTACCCAGCCAAGGCTGAAAAGAACCCTGTAATTAGTCTGTCATTGTCCATCCTACAGTATTCATTCTTAGACTCAGTGATTTGATTTCTTCTGAAACCCTCATTTCTGTTTACATGATTTCTCAGTCATCCAAGTCCTGTGCTCTCAGTAAAGGAGCTCAACTGTAATGTTTGTTTGTTTTAAAAAGGTTCGAACTCTGGCCAGTGCAGGAGGGCCAGACAACCTAGTCTTCCTGGATCCTGGGAAGTACAAAGCCAAATCCCGTTCCCCGGGGCCCCCAGCAGGGGAGGCCACTGGATCGCCTCCCAAGTGGCTGATCGGTGAGCAGGAGTTTGAAGCCCTTATGCGGATGCTTGATAACCTGGTAAGAACATTGCTACCACTTGATGAGAAGGTTTTGTTCTAAAGCGTAGTTGTTGTTGTTTTTAGGGCGAGTGAGTGAGGTGGTGGTGTGGAGTCACTGTCCTCGGGCACTATCTGAGTACTTACTCCTAAAAAAACACCAAGTGGCACCAGTTTAACTTCTAAGCTAAATTGTGATAAAGGACAGAGTGAGGACTTCTTGTCTCACTTTGCTTTTATTTATTATTTTATTTAATACTATTTTTCTTTATTGATTTTAGAGAGAGAGGAAAAGAGAGGGAGAGACAGACAGAAACACCGATGAAAGAGAACATCGATTGGCCACCTCCCGCATGTCCCCTACGGGGGATTTGGCCCACAACCTGGGCATGTGCCCTGACTGGAATAGAACTGGCGACCTCTTGGTGCAGGGTCGACGCTCAACCACTGAGCCACACCAGCCAGGCGTCTCACTTTGCTTTTAAAGATGGGACAGAAGCAAGGACCCAGCTGGCTCTGCCTCAGGCTGCTGGGTAACTGACTCTTGGAGTGAAGGGTGGTTCAGCGCCCTTCGTCCCACACTCGTGCTTTCCAGAGGGCTTTCTGAAGCAGCTGGCGAGTGTTGTTTGTTGTTTGTGTTAACAGTGACTTCTAGCGATCTGGAGCCAATTACTGTGTTCCATAGATATTTGCTACTGATTTACTGTGTGGGAGACCCTCATCCTGACTGCAGGGATCCCGAGCCAAGCCCAGTACAGACGCTGTGTGGTGACACTCTGGCATGGTAGGGATTTTGTGTATACGGGGCAGGATGTGGTCTGTGTTGAAGGTTTCAGTGAGGGACTTCATCCTTTTGCATAGATCAGAGAGAAAACCTTAGGTAGAAGATGTCACTTGGAGATGACCTCAAGGAGAAGTAGAAACGCCATAGGCTGAGTTAGGGGAAGGAGGGCAGTCATGGAAGAGGCCACAGCAGCACTGAAGACACAGTGGTGGGGACAGGAACATGCCTTTCAGGTCCGTCTCTGACTCTGCCAGGGTCTTTACTTATTCAGAACAAGGCCCATATGGGCAGAGCCACCACACTATAAGACAGACAGCTCTGTAATGGGGCCCTTTTGTGCTGCGCGATCACCTCATAGATGGGCTTTGGGAGAGTTCTTGGTGCACGTGAGGGCCTGCCTTGGCAGTGTGGGGCAAGGGAGCCCTACGAAGGGCTGCAGTCGTCGTGTGGCTGTGCTGGTGCTCTAGAGGGCAGCCCTAGCCCCAGGGGGTCACAGTCCAGCCTCACATAAGACCTGACTTTTGGGACAGGTCATAGATGGGATGGTTAGCTGCAGGAGGTTTAACTTTCCTGAAGATTTTAGAACCCAAAGAATTCATGGATCTGATTCAGGGTGTTCCCAGGGGCTAAGTGTCCACAGGAGCGGATTTGGTCAGTGAAGGAGCAGTGGGCAGAGTCTTCCATAACTTCTGAATTCATTTGCTCAGTAAAGATGGGTCACATTAACTGGCCATCTGCTCCTGAGCCTATAGCCATGAACAGGTTACAATTCTTGCCCTAGTCAGGGAAACAAACAATTCGCAGATGCAGCCCAGCACCAGTGATCTGTGGCCCTGACAAAGCGCGATGAGAGCTGCGTGGGCCAGGACTGGTTAGGGACGCAGGGAGAGGCACAGAGCTCACCAGGAAGATGGAAGGAGCAGTTGGAGTAAGGTGGCAGACCACGGTAGTGTAACCTCAGGAAAGACACACCTGGAGAAGGTTTGAGAGGGGCAGCAGTGGCCCAGGCAGTGTCACTGGGAGTTAGACACCTTCGGGACCCCGCACTGTGATTAGTGCTGAGGTGGCCCAGTCCAACAAACCCTTCTTCTCTTTTCCTGGCAAAACTTTGACGCTTCACTCTCCTGCACCTGAAAGTCCATGGGGAGCAGGAGAGAGCACAATCGTCAAGAACAGCAGCCACCCCAGCTTGTGCACTCAGTGTAAAGGGAGAGGCGAATCACTGGGCAGCAGCTCTGGTTTGATAGTGGAGGAAGCTAGAGGGTGAAAGACTCATCTGCGCAACACTCATCCCAACAAGGCTGTTTTAGTGTGTCCTTCAGATGCACAGGTTATGTTACTGTTTCTGTGGAAGCAGGCCATATGGTTTATGAGAAATAAACTGGACAGCGACCACTGATCACAGGCCAGGAATCAATGAGCATTCTGATCAGTTATATGTTTGCTAATCATCAAGTAGATTAGAGAGTAGCTAACCTCCACTCTCAGTTAGCACTGTGATTAGTCGTAAGTTTGCTAACTGTTGAGTAGCTTAGAGAACAGCTGAAGATCCTCACTCTGTAAGTTCATTTCAATATACACACAAGAAATGCTAAATTGTTTCCCACAAAATCAAGATAAAATTTTAGTTTCTCAAGGAAGGGGTGAATCCATATTTTTACCTAAGCCATATAGTAGGTCTGAGTCTGCGTATTGCCTCTAATTTTGGTTTGACAGTATTTAAAGGGAAGAATAAAGATGAAACCCACACCATGTGAGGGTAAGATCTGTGGAGTCCTGGGTGGTTTATCCTGAGTCATGGAGATTACTTGAAGTCCTGGCTGACTAAGCAAGAAGAAACTTGAATTAATAAGTCGTGTATTTTTCTGAAGGTAGTCTTTTTATAGCTGAGTTGTTATCTTTTATTAGTCCTCAACAGAGCATGGGCAAGCTCATAAATGGAAAAATGGCCAATACAGACATCTGCCTATCTTCCTGAGGACAGTTACGTAAACGGCCACCAACAACTCCATTTGGGGATTATTATCATTAAAAAATGTATTAAAGGAATGGTAGGTAATGAATGTAGCTCTGCAAAGAAAAGCATCCAGAGGGGAAAGGGGATCCCTGGACTGAGAGGAATGGGAATGTTTCTGAAATAGCGGCAAGCAGAGCGCAAGCCATGGCTCATGTAACCAACCCCCCGTAAGCCCTTCAGAATCGGCGCTCTGGCTCTCCTCTCGACGCTGCTGTGGATGACTTGATCCAGACACGAAGCTGTGGGTCGGCAGTGCAGGGACAGCTGAGCCACAGGCTGAGCCCAGGTGGCTGGCCTGGGTTTACAAAAGGCTCATCTGGGGAAGGCCCCACTTCCAGGCTCTCAGGCAGTGGGCAGGAGGTGGGGACCATGAGTGAGCCACCCTGAAGTCTGTCTGCCTCACCACCAAGTGCTAAGCATAGGGTAGAGGGGTGGTACCCCACCCTGGCCTTGAGGATACTGCCTGTGGGGGTGAGCAGGCAGGCTGGTGCATACAGTGGTCCAGTAGGGGATGCTTCACAGCAAAGTAAATGGCTACAAGGCAGAGTAGAGGGTTTACCTTGAATGTCTAAGTTAGAATTAAGGGTAAAGTTATTTTACCTAGAATCAGTTGTCATGAGGTGGACTTATTTGGTCTTTCCTAGAGTTTATCATGATATCTAAACTGTGACTTTAGAGGTAAAAATATTAAGTAGGTTGATTAGTATAACCTGTACTTTAGCCAGCATCAATTAAGGCCTATTTTAAAAAATGTTAAAACTTTTATTGAAATACAATAAACAGGAGAGTGTACCTATTTGAGTATTCAATTTATTAGTTTTTAAAAACTGAACACACTGTGTACTCAGCACCCAGATAAAAAGCCAGCACCAGCATCTCAGAAGCCCCACCCCCAGGGTGACCCAGTCCTGTTCCATGTAAATGAGATGAGACAGCACATCCTTTTCCATTTGGTTCAATTGACAGCAGTCTCAGGTTGCACCCGGTGTTGGGATTTATTCTCATTGCCATTTCCTAGTCCATGGTGAGTGCACCCCGTGCCACTCTCGACGGGCTTCTGGGCTGGTTCCAGTCTGGGCTGTCAGGAACGGGGCCGCTGTGAGCACAGAGTGCCTTTGTCTTGGTGACGTATTCGAATTTCTGTTGGGCACGTACCTGCCAGTGGAATTGCTAAATTGTAGGGCGTGTGTGTGTGTTCAGCTTTTGTAGGTATTTCCACACAATTTTCCATAGTGAAACTCTGTTTTGAGACGAATATTGACTGTCTTTCATTCTCTTTGGACTCCAGGGTTACAGAACTGGCTACCCTTACCGATACCCGGCTCTGAGAGAAAAATCTAAAAAATACAGCGATGTGGAGGTTCCTGCTAGTGTCACAGGTTACTCCTTTGCTAGTGACAGTGATCCGGGCACTGGCTCTCCTCTCAGACACAGTTTTCAGAAGCAGCAACGAGAGAAGACAAGATGGCTGAGCTCTGGCCGGGGCGGCGATGCCTCTGAGGAAGGGCAGAATGGAAGCAGCCCCAAGTCGAAGACTAAGGTGTGGACGAACATTGCACACGATCACGTGAAACCCTTGCTGCAGTCTCTCTCGTCCGGTGTCTGCGTGCCAAGCTGTATTACCAACTGCTTGGTCTGTGCCTACCTTACTGTTCATAGTTAGATGATGTAGAGCAAGTTGGGTAGCTGGGGCTTCGGAGGCTTTGGGAACCAGCCCTGCTGACCCAGATTTAAGGCGAACCTTCCCATTAACCTTCTACAGCCAAACCCACATCCACTTTTTGCATCAGCCATAATACAAGTAATACTGTCTGCTTGAAACTGCTTAAGATGCATTGTCCCTCTCCAGTGATTGCAGCTTTACCTAACTGCATACATAGCAAAAGTACCAACTGACGTGTGTATTAACCTAAACCTAGGAGCTGCCATTTAACTCAAATTGTACTTGAGGAATCTTAATAGTTCATGCACCAGAAGGTAGTTCAGTCATAACCTGTTTGTTCAATGCTCTGAACTCCAGTGGTTCGTAAGTCACTAAGCTGTTCTTTAACATCCAGTGTTTTCTTAAGCAGTTTCCCCTCTGGGCTCACGGTGTTTTCTCGGCTGCCCAGGTCCTCTCTTGTTAGCTTCCCCCTGCTTCTGTCCCAAAGCCTCCGAACGCTCTCAGCAGCTGCCTCCTGCATGGACTGTTGCATGTGAGTAGACGGCCATCGCGGAGAGTCTTCTGACTCCTGCTGGGTGTGGCATGACCCAAGTGCAGCGCAGGCCACCGCAGGCACCAGCGCTGGTTGCCGCCAGCGTGCTTCCCGCCTGTAGTCACCCGGCCCCGAGCCATCCTCGAAGTCTGGCACTCAGACGCCTCTATGAAGACGGTCTTCATGGCCCCCAGCCTGGCCTGTGACAGTCCCCCTGCTCCTGCAGTGGAGCCCTGTGAGCACATGGAGGCAGGGACAGACCCACCTCTGCATGACTAGTTCGGTAGCGCGGATGAAAGGAGGTCAGGCACAATGGGCACCCAGTAAGAAAATGGGGCTTCCTAGCCCCTCATAACAGTCTCTTACTTTATAGATGTATTGAAAAGAAAGTCCTGTCCTCTCAAGTGGTTCTGGTGTTTTCCTGAGGCACGGTTGGTGAGAGCCTCTATGCCCCTAAGCAGACATGCCACCCATATGGGCAGAAGCTCAGCATCTGAGCCTGTCCCTCCTTCCTGCCTCCTGCCCTCCTGCCTTTTTTCCCTCTGTCCCTCTCCCTTTTTCCTTTTTCCGTGTTATTTGTTTTGTTTTCACTGATTGTACTTGTTAAAGGGAGTGGGCCTGAACGACTCTGCGGCTGCTATCAGCATGTGGTGCCGTGGACTGTGCTGAGTTTTTCCGAAGTGTGTGTGTAGCAGCAGCTTTGAGCTACATGTACTATTAGTGTGAAAAAGTGTGATGTTCTTCGGGTGTTTTAGTCAGTGCTGGCATGGAGGGAGACCTTGGTCAGCACTGGAACGGGTTCCTTGTTCCGGAGTAACACGCCTCGTGCGTGCTCCCAGGTTGGTCCACTCACTCAGTAATTGTTTCAAGTTTGCAAATGCGGTCAAACTCCTGAGGTTGCTGTTTTCATTTTTTGACTGAAAATTGTCTTTAATGAAAGGCTGGAGTTGTTTAATCGGAAGATGACGTCAGTGAGTACCTCCCAGCTCCATGCCCATCGCACTCCGTCCCGGTGGCTGAGCATCTGCCGCTCCTGTTGCTTCAAGTCTTACGGTTTATGGCTCTCTTAGTGCCTCTTGAAAATACTCTGAAAAGCATAACATTGCTCTCCAACGTGGGCTTGTTTTAATGCTCAGTGCCTACTCATGCCTGAGTTACAATGTGATTCAAAAGGGCCTATTTAATTGGAGATCCAAAATAAAACAGGTGACAGGCACAGGTGCTGACAGTATGCACTGATACCTAAGACAGCCTTCTAGTAAGGATCACAGCGCTTCAAGTTCGTTTGGGATATTTTTGTAACTCTCAAAGTTCAAAGTTATATAAAATATTCGACATCAGCAAATCTTCCAGGTGCGTCAGCCATCATTCAGCACTCTTCTTGGGTTGAAAGAGCTGTGCCGACAGCGCATTCCGATGCTGTAGTTCATTTTAATGTGAGCTCTGGTGATGCCCACTCTTGCTTTCTAGTCCCCAGTCTTCCGTCCCTCTGGGCAGCACCTCACATCGCTTTCCATGACCCTGTCATCTCATGCTTCCAGCTGGCTTTGGTGTTGACGATGCTCAGAGCGGTGAACCAATGTGCTCTGAAGGGTCCCCACTGGCTAGTACACGGGAGTTATGGGAACAGCTCCTTCGTCAGCCTGTGTCAGACCTTAGATTTTAGCTGGGCTTTCTAAATGGCCCTGGCTGGTCAGTCATGACTCTGGCTTTCACCATTCCTGGTTTCCGTCTGGATGTGCCCCCTGCCCCATTCGACTGCTGTGGTGGCACAGTGTGGTCATTGGTTCATTCTCTGTGATGTTCAGTGCATGACCAGATATGAGATAAGTTGGACAGATTGGATGTTATGGTGTCACTTATTGCTGATCCAATTCTAACCTCCCGACTCTGCTTGATATTACAGTGGACTAAAGAGGATGGACATAGAACTTCCACCTCTGCTGTCCCTAACCTGTTTGTTCCACTGAACACAAACCCGAAAGAGGTCCAGGAGATGAGGAACAAGGTGCGTGCTCTTTTGTGGGAGGGCGGAGGCTGCCGTGGGTGGGCAGGACAGGGTGCACTTGCTGTGGTCCAGGGCTTCTGCTGCCACCATTATGCAGCTGAGGCCACCTCTGCACTGCTTCTGCTGTTGTGTTAACAGGCGTGTGAGCAGCAGGCGGCTTGGGGCCCGTGGTTCTTGCACTGCGATGACACAGCAGGGCAGAACTAGTCTGCACAGCCTGTCCCTAGCAAGCAGAGCCTTTGTCCTGACTTCCAGGGTTCAGTAGAGAGCTGTGAATGTGTAATTTATCAGAACATGAGACCTCCCGTGTTCACCGTGTCCCGATAAGATGGACACATAGGGAGTATTCCCCTCGAGTGAGTGCTTCCTCAAGTGACCCAGAGGGGCAGAATATAGGAATGGGTCCTCCCGCACCTCAGACCCACGCATTACTGTGTGGCAGGACCAGCCCCATCCAGCAGTCAGGGTGGTCACGCAGGACCAGTGGGGCCAGGGGCAGGTGGGAGGTGTGGCTGGCACGTGGCGGTGGGGTATGAGGTGTCTCTGTGCCATTGATGTGTTTTCCTTCTTGCCATCCTCAGATCCGAGAGCAGAACTTACAGGACATTAAGACAGCCGGCCCCCAGTCCCAGGTTTTGTGTGGCGTGTCATCGATGGACAGGAGCCGCCTCGTCCAGGTGAGAGCTCAGAAATTATTTTTGTAAGTTGAGAGAGAATGAGTATGAGGTACGTGTTCTAGGCAACCAGTCTTTGTTGAAGACCATCATGGTCAGATATACTAGCTGCTGCCCCTGAGCTGTAGGCCGAGCACAGGCGAGCCGGCGAGTCCCTCCCACACGCTCCTTGCGGTGCCTGCCTGTGTGGGGCTGGCTCCGTGCTTGGGGACTGGCTCGCCCAGTTGCAGTGCTGTGCACCATATAAAATGCTAGATGAGGGGGCTTGGGGGACTTGTATCTGCAGCGGAGCGCTGCTTGGGGAAGGTGGCCACAGAAGGTACTTGTCACTGTGGTCCACAGTGACCCACATTTCTATAAAGGGACAGTGCCTTCGGGTCCATTGAAGGTACTGGTGTAAGTAGTTGCACTGAAGCCTTGCACATGACTACAGGGTAAGAAATTGTCCTCCCTCTTCTGACTGGCCAGACGTGGTCCTGGTCCTGTGGTCTGTGCTTGCACGTGGCAGCGCCACCCCACTGCCTTCCTCGTGATGGCTGTCTGTGCTGCATGCTCTCAGAGCACCGTCCTGTGCACCCGGCTGGTACTTTAAGCTGGGCCTGGGGCTCTGCTGACTCAGTTTACTGTTGCAGGACGCACCCCTGTCTGACTGCACGGAGACAATCGAAGGGCTCGAGCTCACAGAGCAGACCTTTAGTCCAGCTAAATCTCTCTCTTTTAGAAAGGTACTCACTGCCTGCCCTCCACCGCCTGTCAGCACGCGCTGCCTTCTGCGCCTGTCCCTCACCTGCCTGCTCCCGCTGCAGTGTCCTGGTTACCGCGCGGCTGCACACGGCCTCTGAAGCACCTGTGCGATGGTGCAGGCCCCGCCTGCCTGCCCGGCTGTTATTGAACATGTGTCTGAGGTTGTCTTTACAACTTCCAGCATTCTGATTGTTGCTGAGAAGTGGCAGTCCTAGCGATGGGGTGCTTTTCTGAGGTTCTGCATGGGACTTTGGTTAGTGCTGGCGGTGCTCCCGTGTGACCTGCTCCCTTCGCCTGCTCAGCTGTGGCTGTGGATGTGATGAGCGTGCCATCGGAGGTGGTACGATCAAAAGATTGATTTTAGAGAAGCGGGAAGCCCTTGTTGATGAAATGTGTTTAATTTGACCTTTAAAGTAAAACCTAGATACTTTTTTTAATGTTGCAAGGGAGAAAAAGACTTGTGAAAATTCAAAACCCAAAATTATTATTCTCCAACTACACCCATACCTAAAGTGTTCAGTAGGTGGGAAATCCACCTGGTATAACGTGCCCAGGTAGGAGACCTGCCTGCTCTGAGCTCTGAGGCTGCCGGTGTGCAAGACCCGGAGCCAAGGGCAGAGGGCGGCTCCAAGGGTAGGTCTCAGTTGTTTACCCTATGTCCAGAGGGTGTGCTCAGGGTCTCTCTCTCAGTTAACACTCCTCCAGTGACAGGCAAGTATCATTTATCCATGTTCCAGTTGCCAGAGAAGCAGATTTGCTCCAAATAGTCTGTATTCCTGTGTGGAATCCTCACAAATAACATTATTTTGCTTATTTATGTATTATTTCTATGGGTCCTGTTTTCTCGTCTTTAAAATGTACTTCTAGTGACCATTCTTTTTTTTTTTTTTTTTTTAATCCTCACCCGAGGACATTTTTCCATTTTTTGTACAGATAGAGTGGGAGGGAGAGAGAGGAAGGGAGAGAGAGAGAAACATCGATGCGAAAGGGACACATCGAGTGGCTGCCACCCGCACGACCAACCAGGGCCTGGGACAAACTGCAACCGAGGTACGTGCCCCTAGCGGGAACCGAACCCGGGTCTCTCTGGACCGCAGGCGGATGCTCTAACCGCTGAGCCAAACCGGCCAGGGCTAGTGACCATTCTTAGAGAAGCTTCACAGTGCATGGAAGGGAGACGGCCTCCTGCTCCTGTCAGCTTGTTTTCATGCTTCCAACCTGTGTGATCTTGTTAGCGTCGCATTCTTCTCTGTCAGGTGTGTTGAGTCCGTGAGTCATGGGGCTCACTGAGTGGAGTTGCCCTCCAGCTTTGTGGGTAGAGCCGATTCGGACAGGCTCTTTGGCATTAGATTGCTTTTGGTGGTTTCTGTTTGTTTGTTTTTTAATTTTTTATTTATTAATTTGTTTTTGTTACAGATATTTCTCATTTTTTCCCCATTGACACCCCCCCCCCCCCGTCCCATCCCCAGCTTTGTTGTCTGTGTTCATTGGTCATGCATACATGCATGTAAGTTCTGTGGTTCATCTCTTCCTCCCCAAACCCCCCCTCCTCTGAGGCTTTCTGTTTGTATCTTTAGGGCTGCCTACCTAGAAGCAGACTGGTCAGCTGTATTAAAGGCTGCTGTTCTGGCCAGTTCCTCATCCAGTCACAGTGCTGGTTTGCTCTGTCCAGCAGTGCTCAGGCTTGAGTGTGCGTCAGGCACCTGTGAGAATGTGTCATGGAGTGTAGACGTAGGCCCCTCCCCAGCTGGCGGTAGGAGTGGGATTCCTGGCCAGTCCCATGTCCTTCACAAGTCGGAACACCAGACTAGACCCTGTGAGTGCCGTGTCCAAGCGAGATCAGCAGAGGAAGCCACTTGGCACTGAGCCCAGCTGAGGAGGTCCCTGTGCATAAGTTCCTATTCCAGCTTGTGTTTTCCCCACCACCCTATTCACGGGTGCTCACAGTTGCACCCTTGGTCTTTTACCCACGATAAAACATATTTCATTTTGGTGGTGAGAATGTACTTTGATTCCTCTCATGTCCTTGACTAGGGTTGTCTCTGTGTCTTTGTGTGTGGACCACAAAGCACGGATCCCGGAGCTCCTTCTGGAAGGTGCACTGCTTGCTGGCAAGTTGAACTTCTTGAGCAGGTGCAAAGGACTGTGCTTGTTAATGTACTGAAAATGCCTTCTGCCAGGTGAAGCAAGTGTGCAGAGACTTGCTCTCCCGATTGAGTACCTGAGGAACGGGTGTCTGGGACTAAGGAAGTTGGTGCTTTCCTGGAAGGACTTTCCTTTGCTTCCATCTGTCCCTTGGCTTCTAACAGTAGAAGGGGCAGCGGGTTGCCAGCCATATTCCCTACTCCAGTGTCCAAGGGAACAGGAAGTCCAGACGAAGTTCTCTTGACTCAGCATTGTGCATGCCAGTACGTGGCTGGAAGTCGTTTTGGCCGCCTTCTGGATTTGATTCCAGTGAAGTGAGTCGTTAGAGAAGGGTGTGAAGATTCACACTGAGAGCTGTCTAGCACAGGGAAAACTCTGCCGTCCAGTGTGTGCAGTCCAGACGTCCAGTTCTGCCGCACCTATGTGCACTTGGTGTTGAGCACCTGGTATGCACATGGCCCAGCCCTGAGAATGTAAATTTGAATCTGTTTAGATTCTACAGGTGAAAACCTGATGCTCGGAGAGGTCAGGTCACCAGACCAGGTTTGCCCAGCTTCAGCAATGGGGCTGTCATTGCATGCAGAGGAGTGGCTGGGATCTCCTGTGCTTGGAGCCCATGACAGGGGCCTAGACATGAAGGACGCAGCAACAGCATCCACGTGGGCTGCTGGAGGGAGCAGCCACTTCACAGCCTGATTTTTCAGCCTGGGCTGCTCCCCACAGGGCTTGGCGTTGCTCTCTTTCCTAACAATAGCTTGGCCCTTGCTGAGGAAGGAGCCCCTGCCTTGGTGGAGGGAACCAGCCGTATGGCACAGGAAGGGCCTTGATGTCCAAGGGGCATCTCTGTGGCAGTTCTTGCTATTTTATTTCCTTTATTAATTTTGAACTTTTTACTTAAATGAATGTAAGCATTTCTCTCAAACCTCATAGCACCTTTCTTCACTGGCCGTGGCGCAGGACGCGCAGGCAGCCTGCGAGGTGCTGGGACTCACGGTGTCTGCTCCAGGGCCCTTCGACGTGCCAGCCCCGCAGGCCGGGGGCGGGGAAGGGCTTGTCTCAGGCCACAGGGCTGCTGAGTAGCAGAGGGTTCGAGTCCCTGTCTTCGTAAGGCAGCGCGGCTTCTGAATGAAAAGCCAGTAGACGTGGGTCAGGCCTGGTCAGAAAGAGGGCTGACTGACCCACCCAGGTCACGTTGATCTCACGTCTCTCCAAACACAGGGTGCCGATTCCATGGGCTCTTTCCTTCTGTCCCCTGGGATCTGTGTCACTGTCACGAATCCGTCAAGGAGTGCTCCAGACTCTATCCAGCCCATGGGACAGGGCCACTCAGTCCAGGTTCCCTGGCCTCCTTCTGGCTCTGTCTCCAGGGCACATTGCTGGGGCGCTGTCTCCCTCTGACGTTTACCATTCACTGAGGAGAGTGCTGATGGACCTGGCCTGGCATCAAAATGATTTTGGATTTTCCTCTTCTCAGTTGTTTTTGGAAGCTCTCATTAAGTAATGGGCATGTGCGTGAGTGCCAGCTAACTTTCTCAGAGGTGGACATCTGAGCCCTCGGGGGCTGGTCAGGCTGAGTGTGGGGCACAGCGCTGTGTGGTGCAGGGGAATGTGCAGGGGCCTTCACGCCTCAGGGCTGCCTGCCTCCCTCCCTCCCTCCCTCCCTCCCGGACCTGCCCCGCCTCCTCCTGGCATACTGGGCATGGTCTGTGAGCCATCTTGGTGCTGCACAATGCTTCGCTTTTATTTCTCTTCTTCAAATTCTGTTTTCTAAATTCCTCAGACAGATATTGGCATTTTGGGATATTTTGTTCTCTCAGTGTCAAAAGAACAGAATTTATCTGTGCTCTTTGAATGGAAACAGATCTCTCAGCATGCTTACCTGAGTGTTGCAGTCTGTGACATTCTCTCAGTGTAAGGAGGGTGCTTGCCTTAAAGAGCCCCTCTTGTCTGTCAGTGAGGACATGAGGTTGTCCTGGAGGCGCTGTCTGCTGTCCACCTGCCTTTGCTGCCTTCACTTCTGAGACCTGAGGACTTGCCTAGGATTCTTTTCTTCTGTTGCATTTATTTTGTTGCATCAAAATCGTGTTTCTGTGTCTTCTACCACTGAAGACTGTAGCTCAGCCTGACCCTCGCGGATGTCTGTATGCCCCTGAAAGCTGACCCACTCCCCCACCTGGCCAGGGAGGAGGGAGAGTCATGGTGGGCAGAGCTCCTGCAAACCCGGCATTCCTTTTTGTCCACAGGGGGAGCTGGTGACAGCCTCCAAAGCCATCATTGAGAAGGAGTACCAGCCCCGTGTCATTGTGAGCACCAAGGATCCCAACCCCTTCAACACGCTCACTGACCAGGATCTGGAGGAGTACCGCAGGGAGGTGGAGCTCAAGCACAAGGGGCCTGCAGGTGAGCGCCCGAGGGGAGGGCCAGGCGCCAGGCAGGTCCGCAGGCAGGTCTGCAGGTGAGCGCCCGTGGGGAGGGCCAGGCGCCAGGCAGGTCCGCAGGCAGGTCTGCAGGTGAGCGCCCGTGGGGAGGGCCAGGTCTGCAGGCAGGTCTGCAGGCAGGTCTGCAGGTGAGCGCTTCTGTACTGGAGGGGTTTGGGTACGGGCGGAGTTCCTCAGTACACACTGCTTCCCTCTTCACTCAGGTAGTCCCAGAGGGAACGGAAGGTCAGACGCTCCTGTGAGTGCTCTGGTTGGGCCCACAGTACTTGTGTGACCACTACCGACTCCTTTGTGCTGCCACACACATGGTGGACGGGAGATTGGGCCTGGAGGTGCCCTGGTATCAGAAGCCTCCATGAAATGTGGAGGAAGCAGGGAGAAGGGAGGGGACACAGGGCCTCCGTGGCCTCAGCAGCACCATGGTATACTGCCACCGGGGAGGCCAGGATGTGGCGGGCTGTGCTGGTCCTTCCAGCTGGATTGCTGTCCACGCGAAGCGATAAGGGTTCCTCTGGGACAGTCAGCAACTGTGTGGGGCACAGCCTGGCCCCAGGCCACAGTCCTGTCTGCGCCAGCGCTCAGCTTTCTCTCCCAGTGGGCCTGCGCTGGTCTCACTGCGGTCTGCGGGGAGTGCCCTCGTCTCCGTGCACCCTGATGGTCCCCTGGCGGCCACTACCTCGAGGCCACGTTTCTGTTAAGTGGTACGGACTCTTACAGCGAGAGAAAATAAATGGCTCTAGGAGCCAGAACCTCATGGAGCAGATAGTTTCAAACTTCACATTTGGAAAACTTGGTCCAGATACTTTGAGAACCAACAAGAGGAGCAGTCTCCCCTGCCTCTATTATGAAGGCTCTAGTGGGCCCGAGTCCCTTTCTCTGAGCGCCCGTGACTGGTACCAGGAATGGATGTCCTCCCACCAGGAGGTGCACACTACTATCTGCAGGGCCTGACCCTCAACCCTGGTCTTTGCCCTGAGGCCTCAGGTGTCAAGTGTGGCCCCCACGCCTCCCTCAGTGCGCCCTCTGGGAATGGCCCTCCTGGAGTGAAGTCCCACAGGGCGTGGTGCTGGCGACCCTCTCCTGGGCCAGTGGGGTTACCCTGGGGCTCTGCACTGCTCCCCAGACAGCCTCTGCCTTGCCCCCATTTAGCTTGTTTTAGACCAACTAGTGCATTATGTTGCTGCTATTGACATTTGAGTTGTGCAAAATACTATGGCTGAATTGTTTCTAGAATGTGTGACACTGTTACTGCCTGTCACTTTCCATTAGATGTGCATTAAAGTTAAGACTGCCCATCGGCTCAGCCACTCTGATTGCGGTCGTTTCCCTTGCATGGCGCACATGGCCCTCGGAGAGCTGTCTCAGCCACAGTATTGCCTGCCTGCCATAGTCTAGGAACTAGGGGTGGTGTGTGGGCCTGAGCTGTTGGTCCTGCGCCCTGTCCCAGTTCCTGTGCACGGGTATGTGTGTCTGCCCTTTGGACCCTTCCAGAGACCCCCTCTCGGCACTGGTGCTGGCCCTTGGGATGGGGCCAGGTTGTGTGCCGCAGGTAAAACACAGACTGTCAAGGTCAGCACCTCTGAGAGGAAGGAAGAGAGACTTGGGTCTCAGGGAGGAGATGTGAAGGCCTTTGTTGGTGGGCACTTGGCTACAGGAAGGGAGATGTAGGAAGGTAGGTGGGCATCTCTGAGGTCACAGGCCCTGCTGATTATAGCTGCTTGTTTAAAATAAGGAACCTAGGGATCCTGAGCTATTACTGCAGAAGCTGACCTGAGAGAAGGAGAGTTAAGGAGCTAGGATAACATTGGGGTGTATTAGGATGTGTTTTTCCCTGATAAGAGGCAGACTTGGGACTTGCTATATCCTGGGTCCTAGTTTCTGCAGTGTTTCCCCTGGTCCTTACCAGCATGCTGTACTTTAGAAAAGGAAAATGTGTGTGACAATCGCCAAGTTTCCATTATTGGTAGAAAATGTACCACAAAAATTAAAACCAAAGTAATGTTCAGGTAGCATTTTTGGAGGGAGTGTGAGGGTGCTTAGGACCCTGGGCTGCTCAGCAATGGGGGCAGCTGGATGGTGAGGACATGGTGGGAGGTGCTCTTCCCTGGAAGACAGGAGGGTACAGGTCAGTGGTCACCAGTCACAGTGTGTCACAGAGGCAGCTATGGCAGATTCTTTTGGGAATAAGAATAGAAATTACTTTTATATCCAAAGTTAGTTAAAATTTTCTGAAATTCAGATCCACACCCCAGTAATAATTTATTTCCTACATTCTCTTTTGGGGAGGAAAATGGAAAAAGATGAAGAGGGCCATGGCCGCGGGCCCTTCCTGGTCTCTGGGACGTGCCCTCGGAAACACATCCTCCCCGAGACAGCAGAGGGCCTGCTGCCCTTGATGGGGGTGCAGGCTCACGGTGGCGTCTTACCACTCCCGTCTCACCTTCTGCTCACCTGCAGAGTGTCTGGACGAGACCACAGAGCAGAAAGATGGCAGTCCTCCAGAGCACCCTGCTGCCCCCACCACCCCCGTCAAGCTGGAGGAAGGTGAGCTCTGGGCTGGGGGCCAGCGAAGCTCCCCGGATGCGGGAGGGCGCATGGCTCGGTGTGGACGGATGTCCATGGCGGCGGATGGGAGAGTGGACTGTGTGTTCTGTCCAGTGGAGGGGTGGCAGCTGACACGGGCAAGGTCGCGTGCCTTAGCGTGGGAATAAGCCCAGCTGGTGGTCCTGGGCCCCAGGCCCCTCTGCTCCTTTTCCACTCTGTCCTGGGTCACACGAGGCCAAACAGGTTTGTGATGAGATGTCACATGGTGGGAGGGCAGACTTCAGGGGTTGGGACCCACCTTCATTGTGATGCCAGTTCTGCCCACTTTCAACTTTCCCTAAGCCTTCCTGTGCTTGGGTCACACCTCTGGAAACGTCCTCTGTGCTGTCTGGGCTGCAGGGTGTCATTTGACTTGCCGTGTTAGCAGTCCATGGAGTGCGCTGGCCTCCGCTGGCCTCTCAGACCACCCACTGCATGTCTGTGGTGTGTGGCCTGCGTGTCTGTCCCTTGGTCTTATCCATCATGCTTCCCATGTCTGTCGGGAGCTTGGGGCTCACCTTCCACCCCATCTGTGTCCACAAGAATGGCTTGGCCATTCTCCTTCTGTGACCTGGTGGCTGTGACTGGATGTGTAGATTCTCTACCTGTGCTTTTCTCTTCTTGTGGCTGCGTTGCAAGCGGGAGGATGTGCTAAAGAGCACCTGTTACCATAGTAAGTACACCCGCCAGCCGGGCTCCCTGTGCTTTGCCTCATTCTGCCTCTGTGTTGCTTCTTACATTTTATTTTCTGTTTGTTCAAAATAAAAACATTGTCTTGCGACCCCCAACCCCTTTGGTACCCAGTCCTCCCTGGAACGGGCTCAGGTACCTGGAGCTGTGGTGGGCAGCCTGCTCCTAGGCCCCCATGGACCACAGCAGCAGTGCAAGCACTCTGGGTTTCAGGAGCCCGTAGGGCGTGTCCTGTCCAGTCTTCGAGACTCATGATTGCTGAGAGGAAAGACACAGTCTGGACAGGCTCAGACGGGGCGGGGTTGCCACCTGCTGCATGGCAGTCGCATGTGTTTGGACCTTTTCTTAAGCTCAGTGCTTAAGCTTAATGTGGAGCAGCATTTGGAGCTATTTTTTTTCTTTATTGATTTTAGAGAGAGAGGAAGGGAGAGGGAGAGAGAGATAGAAACATCGATGAGAGAACACCGATTGGCCGTCTCCTGCACGCCCCCCTACTGGGGATCGGGCCCACAACCTGGCCATGTGTCCTGACTGGGAATCGAACTAGCGACCTCTTGGTGCAGGGTCGACGTTCAACCACTGAGCCACACCAGCTGGATGGAGTTTTTTTGTTTGGTTTTTTTTGGTAAGTGCCCCTAGCAGGAACCGAACCCGGGACTCTCTGGTCCGCAGGCTGATGCTCCAACCCCTGAACCAAACCGGCCAAGGCCGGAGCTTTTTTTTAATGTGACATTTGGCTCAGTGATAAAGGCTCCCAGAGTACTCACAGGCCACCACTGCATGCTTCATGCTTGCAGAGTGACTCCTAACTTCCTCCTGCTCCGGTTCCGTGAGGGAGGCGCTCAGCTCTCCTGGGCATCGCCAGTCTCCGAGGGGCAAGTGCTCAGTGTTTGGGGCCCAATCCTCCTGTGGCCACTTGTCACCTGCTTTTAGCTCTCCTGAGGTTTGGCCTTTTTTGTTGAAGTACTAAACTGTTTGGTGTTCCTAACCTGCCAGTTGCTTATAACTTACAGGCTTTAAAAAAAAACTCTGCAAACCTGGTCTCCCCTCACCCCATCCTGGTGATGGGAAGTTTCACTACAAACCAGCCTTCCAGCTGCTGCTTGAAGACAAATGACATTCTGTTCTTTATGTTTCCCGTTCAGATTGTTAAATAGCTTGATTTTTGCCCTTTTCTCCTACCTGGTGGTTCATCTCTTCCTTTAACCCATCCTTCGGCCCCACATGGCTGTTGGTTTGATGCTGGTGTTGCACATGGTCTGGGAGTTAACTCGTGTGTCCACTTTTCCGTGGCTTTCCCCTTAGGGGAGACCAGGTGTTGTGGATCCAAATTTAGGCTTAATTTCATGGCTACTGATGTGCCCTTAGGTTGTCTAGAGCCAACCTTGTTTCAGGGGTTTTACACAGCACACTGCGTACTGAAAATATCCCCAGCTTTCCTTGACCTCCCTGACTGGGGACTGAGGCCCTGTGCCTGAGCCTGGTTTTGTTGGCATGCTTCCCTGAGAAGGAGCTGGAGACCACCCTGATATGGAGTCTGTGTTGGGGACGATTGGCTCCATCTAGCCTCGAAGTAGTGACATGCCTTCAGGTTTCTTACTTTTGTCTTAATAACATGCTCTGGAGCCATTCCAGTGGCAGTGCTGTGCAGGGTGCTGCCTACCTTGAGGTCCTCTTGAGGGCTAGGCAGTCGCCCTTGAACCCTGTTTCCCTCCCCCGCCCACTAGACCTGCTGCGGGATTCTGTTTTCGGAGACGACAGCGATGCCGCCACCTTTAAGCCCACTCTCCCCGACCTGTCCCCTGATGAGCCTTCAGAAGCGCTTGGCTTCCCAACACTGGACAAGGAGGAGGGAGAGGGGCTTGGCGAAGCCCATGGCCCTCCAAGCCCTGCCAGGTCCTCCACGGTGGCCAGCCCTGAGCCGGCCCCAGCCCAGGTGGCTGAAGAAGCCTCCTCCCCAGCCGCTGAGGAGGGGGCTGCCGCAGACCCAGGCAGCGATGGGTCTCCAGGCAAGTCCCCTTCCAAAAAGAAGAAGAAGTTCCGCACCCCCTCCTTCCTGAAGAAGAGCAAGAAGAGGAGCGACTGCTGAAGGCCCGTCCTGTACAAACCGACTGTGTCTTGTGTTGTCTTCCTGTGTAATGGGATGCAAAGCCCACCCCCATGTAGCTAGAGCTCCCCTCCCGCCTGACCGAACCCCATGTGGACCGGTGCTAACCTCCTGTGCTTGCAGTGGCCTCCCCCGACACCTGGACCTCAGTCTCAGGTCCAGGGAGGTTTGGTCCCCGTGTCCACCTCTGTGCCCGTCTGTCTGCTCCTCAGAGATGTGCTCCCTGGGGGCATTCAGTCATGGTTCTGGCTGCACAGGCAGAGGCCCTGCTGGCTCTGGCCTTGACCTCTTGCTCTCCTGTTGTGAAGTAACTCCCACTCTGTCCTTGCTAGGCTCCCCTTCACCCTAAGGTCCCAGGGGACTGAATCAGACTCATAGCTTCCTGCTGGCGTATCTGCTCCGTGATCTCACTTTGTTCATATACATGAAGGTGTGGTCCTATGAAAACATTCCTGTGCCTGCCAGCGGCCCAGGGCCCCGTGGTGACTTGGACTTGAGCTGGAGGCCAGTGCACGCCCAACGCAACCTGTGCATGGTCCACTCTGAGTACCCCGTGGCCAGAACCAGACTCAGGGCTCAGTGTCCTACTCGCTGGGGCCTCAAGTGCTGTCGTAGGGAGGGTCTACCAGGAGGGGAGAATCTTTCAGCAGATTTGCAGTTCATCCTACATTGCTAACTGTGAACGTGAGCAGCAACTTTTTGCTTTAGTTTCTCTCCAGGGCCTGCCGCAGAGCACCGTTCACCTATTTTGGGGCAGGTTTCAGAGCAGAGAGGGTCTGCTCTTACCTTATTCCGGCCTGAGAGATGCCTGGTTCTGACCAGTAGTAGCTCAAGGCAGGAGTCGGCCCTGGCGGTCCCTGCCAGTCTCTGTGCCCGGCACACGTGGAGCCCTGCCTTGCACCCAACTCCACCCCCTGGAGAACAGTGTGAAGCTGCTTGGTGGGAGCTAGCAGGTGGCCACATGGACTCCTCCAGGGGCCTGTTTCAGGAGCTGCTCCAAGCCAGCCTGCCCCGCCCCAGACAGGCCCCCTGAGGGGTGGGAGGGGCCCTTGGGGGTCTGGTGCCAGACGCAGGCTCAGGTCCCACAACCTCGACACCCAGGCAGGACCTCGGCCGCTGCATGGCCTGACTGCCGCTTCGCGCTAACTGGTGGGCGCGCTGCTTCTCCGTGTGTCACGTTGCCGTGTCCGGCTCCCCACCGTCCCTGTCCTTGCGTTGGCCACGGACTCTTCCTTTGACCCTTCCTTGATCCCACATATGCAATGACTTTCACCTCACTTTGTAGTTTATTTTAACTCTTTGTATCACACCATGTAGTCACCTACATGGACACAGGCTTGGGAGGGCAGGCCGTGTCCTTTCTTCACTGTTACACGTTTTACTCACAAATAAAGTTCTTTAAGCAGTATCCTGTCGAGACCTGGGAAGCAGTTTCACGTTTTAATCCCTTTCATTTCTTTAAAATAGGACTTCAGGAGTTTGTCTCATGTTCCCAAAAAAGACACCCCCCCCCCAAGTATTTCTTTTTTTTTTTTTTTTTTATCCTCACCTGAGGACATTTTTTTTGTTGTTCAGGTAGAGTGGGAGGGAGAGAGAGAGAAACATAGATGTGAAAGGGACACATCGAGTGGCTGCCACCCGCACGACCGACCAGGGCCGGGGACAAACTGCAACCGAGGTACATGCCCTTAGCGGGAACCGAACCCGGGTCTCTCAGGACCGCAGGCTGATGCTCTAACCGCTGAGCCAAACCGGCCAGGGCCCCAACTATTTCTTGACACACCATCTGTCACTTCGGGGAGGACCTTCTAACCCAGAGCTGCCTGCTTGTCCCTCCCTGGGGCTGGCGGTGGTGGCACTCGGGCAGCTGGGCAGGGCCCTCAGCACCGGAGAGCCAGAGCTGTCCTGACTGCTGTGTCCTCTACAGACTGAGCGCCCCCTGGAGTCAGCGTGGCCTGGGCTGAGCAGACGGGTGGAGTCTGGGATCTGTGATGAGGACAGCCCAGCAGAAGGGTCCTCCTCACCAGGCACACCCCCGGTGTCACCTTGCCAGTGCTGACCGTCTCAGAGGGCTCTGCACCTGACTCTACCCTCACCACGTGCAGAAGGGAAACAGCCTTGGGGTCAGGGGAGCTGTGATGCATTAAGCCCCAGCTGCTGCTGCGCCTGGGTCTCCCAGGGTGTGTGGTATGTTGAGGGACGCCGGGTACTGGACACAGGCACTTGGTATAAAATAGCTGCTTTATTTGTCATTCAGATGCCTGGCTGATAGCCTGTTCTCCTCGGAGCACAAAACAAGCAGACCGGAAGCCTGGAAAGTTTTGGAGTCCCTGACCCTGCTCTGCGTGCAGCAGGCGGGGCTGCTCTCTCGTCCAGTGGGGAGGAGGGCGTCCGAGGGCCCTCTGGGGCTGCAGACGTTGGACTTCCTGGGCTGGGCCTCAGGAGGAAGGGAAGGGTCAGGCCAGCAGTGGAGAGTGGTCCTGGCCAGCCTCTGACTTCCTGCCTCAGCTCCCCCAGCTTGGGTTGGGCTGGCTCTGTTACTCGGTCTTAAGTGTCTGTGTTGGAGGCCTCAGGGTCCGCAGGAGGAGGAAGGGGAGCAGGAAGAGCCCCGAGCACATGGTGAAGCAGGCTGGGGCCCCCACCAGCCAGTATACTACGGAGAAAGCCAGGCAGTGACGTGGGTCCACCTCGCCCACCCTGCCCCCACCCGCCCCTCAGCCCCACGATGGCAGGACTGAGCTGTGGGGTAAAGTGGCTGGAACGGAGGAGGCTGGAGCAGATGCAGGCAGCTGAGAGAGGCCCCCATCAGGGATCAGCAGCCCCCCAGGCCTGGCTGGCTCCCCAGGTCACAGCATGCCCAAGTGCTGTCCCACAGCCCTCACCTGAGGCGGCCATGATGGGCCCCATTGCCCTGGCCAGGGCACCCAGGCTCCGAAGTGTGCCCATGACCGTGCCTTTCTGCGCGGGCGAGCCTGTGGGGGAGAGAGGAGGGCCATCAGGTGCCCGCCGGCCTCGTCTCACCTGGGCAGCCTTGGTCAGGAAGGGCCTCTCACCATAGCCGGCGACCACGGAGGACAGGCAGGGCACCACAACAGCGGCAGCTGACGGGGGACATGAGTGAGGTACACGTCATCCCAGAGAAGAGACAGCTCATGACCTGGAGGCATTTCTGACCACCAGTCCCCCACCATACCCCCCGGCCCTGGCAGGGACCCTCACCAAAGGAGTAGAACAGCAGCCCCAGGCCCAGCATAGGCAGCGTGTGCCCCCAGCCGATGAGGAGGAAGGCGGGAACCAGCAGCAGGATGGCCTGCAGGGGGACACAGTGGCCCTCAGGACCCACTCCTGCTGCTTCCAGCAGAGCTCAGGAGACCACGTGCCCCCCACTTCCGGGGGGGCCCCCATACCCGTTTCACAGTTGTAATTTCCCTGCCGGGGCTGATCCGCCGGGCGTAGGTGCCCTGGATGGTGGCCATGGTGAGGCCGATGAAGAAAAACATCTTTCCCTGCTGCAGGCTGGGAGGGCGGGGATCTTAGCGCCCCAGCCCTGCTGGCTGGCTGCCTAGCGCTGCTCTGCCGAGCCAAGCAGGGAACCGCTGACAGCCACTGCCCGCCCCACGTTCCTGGGTTGGGCCCCGGGACATGGGGAAATGGCAGGGTACCCCACGCGGGGTCCTTGGAAGGCTTGACTCCCACCTGCTGAACTGGAAGCGCTGGTGTACAAGGAAGCTGAGCGTGTACTCCAGGCCGGAGAACAAAAAGAGGTAGAGCAAGTAGACCAGGCCCAGGCGGCGCAGCTGGCTGAGCCCTGGGGGCAGTGGAGCAAGGGCATGAGGGGTCCACAGCCTGACAGCAGCTGGGGTAGCCCCGCCCTCGTGAGGGGCAGCTCCTTACTGTCTCCACTAGGCGGGTCCTGGCCATGGGCCACAGCGGAGAAGCGGAGCAGGGCTGCAGGGCTGAGTAGGTCAGCAGCAGCTCGGAACCCCAGGGTGATGGAGGGCGCCTGGCAGGGGGCAGAACTGGAGAGGCCTGCTGGGAGCCTGGGGGGTCCCTAAGCCAGGCAGCCTGGGGAGGGGCATGACCCAAACCTGCTTGGACCCAGCAGCCTGGCCTCCAACCCCACCTGCCAGACTTCAGAGGCAGGGGACCTGGGAAGCACAGGGACCCCAGGAGGCAGTGTGTCTCCAAGAGCCTCTGGACACCGGGAGAGGACAACCTGGCCTCCCCTGGCACCCAAGACTGGCACACACGACAAGACTCCCTTCAGGCCCATGGAACCGAGTCCCCAGCCCTGGGACCTGTCAGTAGCTTCTGGGTCCCACCATACCCGCTTCTCTGGGGGCAGCGTCTCCGGCAGGAAACAGAAGAGAAACAGCAGGTCAGAGACTGTGAAGAGCAAGGCGAGCCAGGGTGCGGCCTGCACAGGTAGGAAGGCACCCAGCATAGGGCCCAGCGTGAAGCCCAGCGAGAAGGCCACCCCGATGATCGCCTGGAGAGAAGACCACCTGAGCCAGGAGGGAACCCCAGGCCCTGGAGCCCCTGGCCCCTTGCCCCCCAGGTGTACACTCACCATGCCTCTGCTGCGGGCAGGTGGAGAGCCCAGATCAGCAACGATGGCCGTGGAGAGACTGACATTCCCCTTGCTGATGCCGCCAATCACCCTGGAGGCCAGGAAGGCTGCGAAGCTCTCTGAGGCAGCCCACACAGCATACGAGGTGGCCAGACCTGCCTGCCTCAGGGCAGGGACCAAGGGGCAGGCATGGTCACTTGAAACCAGGAGGAGCCCAGAGTGGGGCCAGCAAACCTAACAGCACCCCTGGGCCCCAGCCCTGTTCTGCAGCACCCAAGGGCCACTTGTGTCCCCGATGTCCCATGGGTGGCAGAAGCAGTTCTGGGACAGACTGGCTTAGACAGGAGCTGCCTGCCCCTCAAGCACACCCCAGGGGCACCCATACCAGGGACAGCAGCATCACTGGGCGCCTCCCCAGGCAGTCAGAGATGGCCCCTGTGAGCGGCGCTGAGAGGAACTGCAGGACTGAGAAGACCGAGCCAATCAGACCTGAAGGAGACAGAGTCACGGTCACTACATCTCAGTCCCATTCCCCAAGGATCTGGTCACACTGGCCCAGGACTCCCAGGCCATGGACCTCCAGCCGAGGTGGCCCTGACAACGCGGACACTCAGAGAGGGAGCAGATTGTGTCTCGGAGTAAGAAGGGGTGGATAAAGACCTTGGATTGGCAGGAGCCCAGGGAGTGAAGAGGGGAGGGTCTGGGAACACGATGGGACTCTAGTGGCTCCAAGCATGGGGCTCAGGGCCATACCTCCGAACAGGACATTGTTGTATCTCTTCTCCGCTGGCATCCCTATGGCCGCAGCAAACCAGTCCACCCCTCGCTGCCATGAGCCATAGAGAGGGTCCTGGGGGACGAGGAAGCGTGAGGGGCTGGGGGAGTCGCTGCCGGGCTGGGAGCAGTGGGCAGTGCCCATGGGGGTCAGGCATCGGAACAAGGCGGGGGGCTCACATGTGCACGGCCATGGCTCTCCAGCAACCCGGGGAGCAGGGGCAGCAGCAGAGTGAAGGCCAGGAGGTCCAGCAGGAGGCCGAGGAAAACCACAGTGACCACCCGGGTCTCGGACGCAGGCTGCTGGCGGATGGGTGGACGTGGGGTGCAGCTCCCACCAGCTCCCCAGCCCATGATGGGGGCGCTCCGATCCAGCCGGGGTAGGGATGTGGCGGGTCTGCACAAGGGCACCCCCGGTTATCGCAGCCCCAGGCGCCCACCCCACCACGCGGGAAACTGTGTCTCCCTGCCCCGTCATGCCCCAACCCGCTAACAGTCAGTGAGCACCCTAAAGGGGGTGACTGCCCTGGGGCGCCCGTCGCCCAGCAGGGTGTCCCTTGGCGCACCCTCCCCAGAACCCCGGGCAGCAGGAAACTCAGGCTGCGGGTGTTGCGCAAGGAAACCGCAGCCACCGAGGCCAACCGTCCCAAGGAGCCGGGGCGGGGGCGTCGCGGCCCCGGGCGGCACCATATCCCACGCAGCTGCCCCACGTCCTCGTGTGGAGCGGGAAGGGAAACTGAGGCCCGGAGGAGGGCGGGACCTCTGCGACTCCGGGCGGCCGCGGCCGGGGGTGAGCCCTGCGCCCCGGAAAACCCGGCCCCCGCCCGTCCCGGGTTCCCCCGGGCTCGCCTCCTGGGACGCCGGGGACCCCATCGCACCTGCCGCGGCCGCGCGCTCGGGACGCACGGACGAAACCACGGACAGATGGACAGAGAGATGCGGAAAGAAGCGCCAGGCACGCTGCCGGGGGCGGGGCGGCGCGCAGGCCCCGCCCCCGCCTCGCCCCGCCCCGGAAGTGGCCGCTTTTCCTGTTCCTGCCGGCAGGGTCCGGCCCGCGGACTGTCGGGGGCTCTGAGCTGCCTCCGCTGCCTGCCCCCCGCGGCCCGGGCTGCTGGGTGTTGGGGCGCGCTCGGCAACCCCGGACCCCGCCGGCTCCCGGGCCTCCAGGCTCCAGGCCACGCCCGGGCGCAGGGCCTCTTCCCGCAGGGCCCACGCTGGTCGCGTCCCGGGACCCCTTGCCGGGACCCCTTGAAGCCTGGCGGGGACCGGCTCCCAGCCGCATGCGCTGACAAGCCAGGGTCCCATTTGCCCCCACCCCTGCCCGAGGGGTGCCCCTCCCTCTGGTCTAAGGGCCTGGCGCTGCGGGCCCTCTCCCTGCAGGGCCGCAGGGGCGACCAGTTTGGTGCCTTAGGAGAGAGGCGACGCCATCAGCAGCCCGGCCTGGGGCGGCAGCCCGGCGGTGTGCACGGCCCGTGGCTTTGACCACACGCGTCTCGTTGGACAGTTTTTTCTGCATCCGGCGCTGAGCCTTAAGCCCCAGGAGACAGGTGAGGGGAAGGCCCTGAGGCCAGGACAGCAGGCCGCTGAAGGCCACAGGGTCCAGCCGGCAGCACGCCTGCCCCTCGGACCAGGGAGGAGCAGCTGGTGGCTCACCGGGCCTTGCGCCTGAGGGAGACCCCAGGGCAGTTGGAAAAGCTCTGGACACCAGTTCCTGGCCTGCGCTGCCTCCTGCCGCCCCTGCTGCTTCTGTTCACACCTGTGGCCAACCCGAACTGCAGACAAATGGGGAAGAGGGTTCTAGAACACGAAGTCGACCTTCCGCGATGACACGGGGAGCACCAGTCCACCCCTTGCCAATCACACACCTCTTTATACTACGTATCCCAGTAACAATAGCAGTTACACTTGTGTAATGTAGACAATCATCCCACCTGCAATCTGAATGGACACGGTAGCTCTCTCCAAAGAAGGCTCAACCTCCCCTTGTCCACGTTTGGCTGCTGCTGTCCCGAGCCATGCTCCCCCTTTTGCATCATGTAACTCACACTTAGGATGGGCCGACTGCCCCAACACTTCTTACATCAGGTGTGGGGAAGCGGCAGAGGAAGGAAAGTGTTGGATAAAAAGAACAAATGGCCCTGGCGTTTGGCTCAGCGGTTAGAGCGTTGGCCTGCGGTCCTGAGAGACCCGGGTTTGGTTCCCACTGAGGGCATGCGCCTCGGTTATGGTTGCAGTTTGTCCCCGGCCCTGTTTGGTCGTGCGGGTGGCAGCCACTCGTGTCCCTTTCACGTCGATGTTTCCCCCCCTCCCCTCCCACTCTTTCTGAACAAAATATGGAAAAATATCCTCGGGTGAGGATTAAAAAAAAAAAAAAAGTGTTCATATCAACATGCTAAACACAGTCCCTAAACAGTCCCCATTCTAGGGACCTTGGAGGCTGTCACTTCCAGCAGCCCACAGCCCCTCGACCGTCTTGCACTCTTAAGAAGCTTCTTGGTGTGGAGGATGGAAAGTCAGCCTTTAATTTACAAGCTTTCGACCTTAACCACAACCTCCGCATCTTAACTGATTCTGACCCAAAACCTAGGCCTCCCAGGTCAGGGCCAGTGTGGCTCAGCGTCCCCTCCCCCGCCACAGCCGCCCAGTGCGCAGAAGCAAGACTGGGCAATGGCTCTGAAGCAGCCGATAGACTGAATTAGGGCAGTGCCGGTCATGCCTGTTAAGGGGTTGGGGTATGGGTGACTGTTTTATTCTTTGATATCTGATTGCGAACGTGTTTATTTTATAATTGAAAATGTAATTTACAATGTGAAATAACACTGCATTCTATACATGAAGGCAAGTGTCCTTGGTTGACTAAAATTAAGACTGTCCAGAATCCTCGGTCCCAAACCCTATGACTGACTGGTGTTTGTCTGCATTTGATGGACCAAGTCATTTAGTTTATCAGCACTTGGCCCTTGGAGAGAACTGTTCCCAATTCCAAGTCATTTCATCAGGGAGGTGGAATGGGAGCTGAATGCAAGAAAAAACCAGACATCACAGCACCTTTACTTTCACTAGTACGGCGCCTCCTTGCCTGAATAAAAAGTTTATTTTTTGAACTTTTTCCTCTTCAGAGCCTTCCATTCACCTTCCTGCTCAGCCAGGCTGTTAAAAAGCTGCTTTACTTTGCGCTTTCTTTCCGCGTCCCTAAGACAGGAAAAAGCCCGTTTCTGGGTGAGTCTCTGGAGGACGGCCGGCACCAGGGCCATGCCCGGCACGTGCCCCCCGCCCCCCGCGCCGCGCCTCACCGTTCCCTGATCTCCGACAGCTGCATCCGGGCCAGGAACTGGTTGTCCTTGCGGATCTCCCGCACGGCGCCCTTGAACTCTCGCCTGTGCTTGTGCACCAGCCTCTTCCGCTCCTGCTCCTCCTTGCTGCTTCCCTGCTTCCTCCCGAACTCGAGCCTGAAAGCAGGCAGCACCCGGGAGGAGTTGGCTCCAGGACTGCAGGCGGGCCCACACCCAGACCCCTGGGCCCTCCACGGTGAGACCCTGCCCGGAGCCACACTCACACTCTGACCAGCCGGGGGGTGAACAGCTTCAGCGGCACCGGCTTGCTCTTCTCGCTGACCAGGGGATGGTAGCGCCTCTCCTGGGTCTCGATGGCAGTCAAGGTGCTTCGACACAGCTCCTGCAACAGAGGAAGGGCGCTGCTGAGATGGCCCAAGGCGGCCGGCCCTCTGCAGCCTCTGTGGGGGGCGGCGCGGGACCTGGCCTTCTTCACTCTCCCAGGTGGTCACAGGCCCGCGACCTTGCTGGCGGGGAGGGGTGTGCATGAAGGCCGCCCCTCTCCCTCCGGCACAGCCCTCCACGCAGGCAGGGCCGCAGGGCCGAGGACGGCAAGGACATCTGATCAGCAGTAAGGCCGCCTGTGCTCCCAGCACCGGGCAGTGGGGCTGTTCTTCCCCAGAGAAACCTGGCAGCACCTACTGGGCACGCAGGGAGCCAGGCAGCACCTGCTGGGCACGCAGGGAGCCAGGCAGCGCCTGCTGGGCACGCAGGGAGCCAGGCAGCACCTGCTGGGCACGCAGGGAGCCAGGCAGCGCCGGGCCATGTGGCAGGCCGAGCAGGACTGTGTTACGATCTGACCTCACTCCCACCCCAACAGAAAGTACCTGCAGTTAAGGCGCTCTCGTCACAGCCGGCTCCCAGGGGAGCTGGCTGAAACGTGAGGAACTTTCTAGAAACCAGCCTGCTGATGTTGGTTCCTTGCTTTTCTCCTCACACAGGTGTGTCCCGGAACTCAGGCTTCCTGCACCACAGGCCCTGCACCCTGACCTGTCTGGAGGTTCACCCCTGAGGGCCAAGTGCCCCAGCTCCGTGGGGACTACAGGCAAGGCACGAGCAGCTCAGCTCACCCCGAGCCACGAACCGGCCGTCTGCCCTTAGGAGTGAGGGACAGGCCACAGACACGTCTGCAGGTGGGCAGGTGCTGACACCTCTGCACCTTCCACCAATGACAGGACGTCCTCACAGGCCCACGTCCTGGGGGACAGAGATGTGACGGCACGTGCTGGGGCCCCGCCACGGGCAGGGCAGCGGCCGGATGGAGGGAGGACCTCGGAGGACCCAGGTGAGACGGGTGGTGGCACAAGGTGCGTGGGCGCAGGAGCAGGGTGACTGGGCGGCAGCAAGGTGCCTGCGGCCACGCGGAGCCTCCAGGTCAGAGAGGCCCACACGGCGTGTGGCCTGTGCCGGGCGGTGAGACTGTTCTCAGGAAACCCATGTGCTGGGAGGGGCTGTTGCCCAGACTCGGTGGACAGTGGGCAGACGGAAAGGGACGTGTGACACTGTGACAGTCCTCAGATCAACCCATGCCCAGACTCGCAAGAACAGAGCCCCCCTCGCAGAAAGGCTGGACCAGGGCCACGCACCCCGGCAGGGAGCCTCACCTGCAGCTCCTGGGGATGGTTGCTGGCAGCCAGGTGCTGTGTCAGGAGAGTTCTGAAGGGCCTCATGATGTCCTGGAAGGCGGGCAGTGTCCCATACATGAGCACACAGCGCTGCGCCAGGGCCAGACACACGGCCAGGCAGGACAGCCTGCAGGGCGACAGGCAAGAACGTTGGCAAGAATGAAAAGTCAGCACTCGACTGAAGACGACAGTGTGGGCCGTGGCAGGCGGAGGTCACACTGGCCACAGGGCCAGGCGTGGAGGACGGCCTTGTCCGGAACAGCGGTGCCGTGGGACAGTGCAGGACAGGGCTCTTGTTTTAGTTTTAAATTAGTTTGTAAAGTTAGGCAGATATGTTTTGAAAATAACATAGATACTCTGGGAAAGTTGTCTTTTCCATGGAAATAATGGCTGTCAGGACTTGAACAGACATTTTTCCAAAGAGGACACACGGATGGCCGACAGGTACGTGACAGGGGCTCAGCTCACTCAGCAGGGAACACAGGTCAGACCACGTGAGACACCTGCACACCTCTCAGAAACCAAAAAACAAAACAAGTGCTGGCAGGGACGTGGAGGGATGGGACCCGCGTGCGCGGCTGGTGGGAATGCAGAGGCGCAGCCGCCTGGAAGCAGCATGGAGGCTCCTCAGATCCTTAGAGATAGAGCTGCCATGTGACCAGTTGTTCCATTCTGGGTACATCCCCCAAAGAAAGGCAGGCGGGGACTGGGCAGACTTACACACCACTGCCCACAACAGCGAAAACAGCAGCAACCCAAGTGTCCACCACAGACAGAAGAGCAAGTCGCAGTCCATCCACACAGAGGACTGCTACTCAGCTTAAAATGGAAGGAATTCTGACACCTGCTCCAGCACGGAGGGACCTGGGACACGATGAGCAGCGAAGCAAGCCAGTCACAAGGACAAATGCCATCTGATTCCACTTCCGTGAGGCCCACACCGGTGTCAAATCAGAGACAAGTCAGAGCGATGGAGCCAGGGGCGGGGGAGGGAGCTGTAGTTCAGTGGGGACAGTGTGTCAGTTTGGGAAGATGAGCAAGTCCTGGAGAGGATGACGGTGAGGCCACTGAACTGTACACGGATAAATAGGAAGGTAAACTTTATGCGTATATAACCACAGAAAAATTTTTTTCAAGAATAGAATTTCAAGCAATCTCTAACTTAAAGATCAGAGCCCGGCCCGGCCAGTGCGGCTCAGCGGGGACGTCCGTCTGCATCAGAGCCCGGCCCGGCCAGTGCGGCTCAGCGGGGACGTCTATCTGCACACTGAAAGGTCACCAGTCTGGTTCCTGGTCAGGGCACATGTCTAGGTCTAGGTTCGATCTCCAGTTGGGGCGTGTATGGGAGGCAACTGATCGATGTTTTCCTCCCATCAATGTTTCTCTCTCTCTCCCTTCCTCTCTCTAAAAATCAATAAAAGCATCTCAATCGAGGATTTAAAAAAGTAATTAAAAAAATACTTTAGCCCTGGCTGGTTTGGCTCAGCGGTTAGAGCATCAGCCTGCGGTCCAGAGACCCAGGTTCGGTTCCCGCTAAGGGCACGTACCTCGGTTGCACTTTGTCCCCGGCCCTGGTTGGTCGTCCAGGAGGCAGCCACTCGATGTGTCCCTTTCACGTCGATGTTTCTCCCTCTCTCTTCCTGTCTCTCCCTCCCACTCTGTCTGAACAAAAAAGCAGAAAAATGTCCTCAGGTGAGAAAAAAAAAAACTTGAAAACCGGAAACTGAAGGACTCACAGCACACGCCCGCTCTGCCCTCCCACCAGAGGGACGTGGTCACGGGCGGCTGCTGCGGGAGCCGGGCCCACACGTGTGCCCTTGGGCGACTCCTCCAGGTCCCAGGCCACCGTGGGATGTCCCCACTCACTGCCCCTCTGGTTTCTTCCAGCAGTTCTGTCGTTTCAGCATGCAAGCCCCCCTCCTTTGTTAATTCCTGAGACTCTTCTTCTTCCTCACCCTACTGTCATGGAACTGTTTGTCATTTCCTTTCCAGACTGTTGACTGTTAGCGTACAGAAATGCAACTGCTTTCTGCACACAGACTCCATATCCTGTACTTTGTTAAATCCAATTATTATATCTAATAGCTTTGCTGGGGAGTTTCTAGGGTTTTCTACTCATAGGTAACCCTCCAAACAGATGACACGGGGCAGCCTCGGGCCCAGGGCCTGGGGTGTCCGGGCTCTCTGAGGCCTGGCCCGTGGGGCCCACACCTACCGGGTGTGGTTGGCCTCCGTCTCGGTCTGGGCTTTCGATGCACTTGCCCAGTGGAGGGACAGGCTTCGCCTCTGCCACGTGGCCGCGTCCTCGTCGTTAGACACCAGGAGCAGCTCCGAGTTCTTCCCCCGAGGTCTGAAAGGGTGCACCAGAGTGTGACCTGAATTCCAAGGGGACAGGGACAGAGAGGCCTCTGAGCGTCACTGGATTCGTGGGGCAGTGGCCTGGGGTGCCGCCGCCATCCATGTCTGTGCCCTTGAGGGCAGGCAGCCGTAGAGAACATCCATGAAACAAGTGACCTTGATGGGAAATCAGAAATGAGCAGTGATGACAAAGCAGGGGGAGGCGTCAGCTGTGAGTGCTGCTGGGGGACCGAGTTCACCGAGTCAGTCTATCCCGCAGGGCGAAGGCTGGCAAAGGACCAGGGATGTGCAGGACTTGGCCCTGGCACGGCCCGGCAGGGCGGGTGAGGCCGAGGGAGCAGCCTGCAGGGAGAGCAGAGGGGAGCAGAGGAGCTGGGCAAAGCAGCTGCCCACCCGCTGCCGCCCCACGTCCAGTGCCTTCTACACTTGGCCTGACTGCAGCCACCTTCTGACGGTGCCCGGGCTGTGCTCTGCCACGGCGGCCAGGGAGCTCGCAGCGGGGCGGCAGGACCACGGCGCCACCACTGAGTCGCGGGGGAGCCCAGGACCGGCGGCACTGAGCGCACCAACACGACCCAGCCAGGGACAGGCCAGCAGGCCTCCCCGCTCCAGGGGGCACAGGACTGAGGGGCCAGGGCAGTGGGTGAGCGCGCAGCGCTGGCGCTTGCTCCTCAGGAGTCTCTCCTCCGGAACCAAGGCCGAGGCAGCACCCAGCGCAGCGCTGCCCACGGTGGGAGCCCGGGAGCACGCCACGCATGCTTGTCGCACATACAAACGTAAGGTTCATCTTACGTATTTTACTTAATCCAAAATTTAAGAAAATTATTACTTCAACACAGAAAGCTGGGACAGCCCTGGCTGGTGAGGCTCAGCGGCTGGAGTGTCGGACTGCAGCCCAGAGCGCGCAGGTTCAATTCCTGGTCAAGGGCATGTATCTGGGTGGCAGGTTCAATCCACAGCCCCAGTTGGGGTCATGCAGGAGGCAACCACTTGATGCATCTCTCTCCCATCGATGTTTCTCTCTCCATGTCACGATAAACATCCTCAGGTGAAGATTAACAGCAACACACAAAGCAAGCGGAGACTGTTTTAGGCAGCTCTCTGGGGCCCCTGACAGCGCCCGCGTGCGGCTCTAGCCCGATGCCTTCGGAGTGCGAAGTGTCCTCATCCGCACGAGGGAAGGGGCACACTCCAGTGAGGGGACGCAGACGTTTGTCTTCTCCCCACTCTCCCACCTCCCAACCTCTCCACCAGGATGAGTCCCTTTCAGAAGTCCTCCAGAAAAGTCTCAAGTACAATACATTCGAAAAGCTCCCTCCGATCAGCTCACCTTGGCTTTGCTTGTTGGGGGTTGCTATGTACAGGATCCCCAGAAGAAAGTTAATCAGCTCGGGTATGAACCTCTGGGACAGAGACACGTAGTCCAGGGACACGCAGCACACGAACAGGCCCTTCACCGCGTCTTGCAGAGAGAGGACAGGGCACTGCAAAGGAAGAGCTCGGTGACTGGTGGGACCAGGTCTGGACACCGCGCCCGGCAGACCACCTGCTCCCACGTGAGGTGGGTGCCGGAGCTCCGCCCAGAGGGTGGGGCCCAGGGAGAGCGCGGGGCTGTGCAGCACCTGCGTGAGGGGCCCAGCCCACACCATCACGGAAGAGGGATCACCGGGGCTTTAAGCAGAAAGGACTAGAACCCCCATCAGACTCCACGCTTTCTCCACTACGATGATTGTTTTCTGGGGTAACACCCTCTATTACCTCCAGTTGCTAAATCAGACCCCGACCCCATCTGGGCTGCTGAAGCTGGGGTGCTGTGGGGGAACTGGGGCTTTCTGATCTCGGAGCTCCCAACTCGTGCCCATGACCCTTTGGGACAAGCTGCTCCTCTGCCGGCCCCAACATCAGTGTCCAGGGCCCTCATGCAGCCCCGCCGCCCTGACAGAGCGGGGCCCATGCGGACACGCACCTTGGTGAGCAGCTGGCTCAGGCACACCAGGGCGGGGGTCACCACAGGGTGCCAGAAGTCCGAGGCCGGGAACAGCAGCCCAGCGATCCTCAAGTAGACGAGCTGGAAGGAAAGCGTGCCGTGAAGGTGGAAGGAGGGAGACAGGGTTTAAACACTGCCTACCAGGGCTCCAAAGCAAAAGTGGCTTGAGATCTGGTGAGACACAGCGTCGCCCCGTGACGTGCTGTGTGGCCTTGTGGCCAGGCAGGGGCTCCCTCCAGAGCTGTTACTCACACCACACCCAGACAGGCTCTTTGGAATGTGGGGGTTCTCTGGTGGTCGGTGAGTGGGTGCAGCATGAGGCTGTACTGCCCCAGGAGCCTGGCCAGCTCGGGTGCAGGCCCCAGCTGACCGTTCTGGAGCGTCAAGCCCACGGCTGGTGCAGGGGTCACTGCAGACTACACACCCACTGCCCTTTTTGCCTTGGGGAGCAGTCAGAGGCCGTGGGCCCCACACCCTCGCCCTGCTCTGAGCCTGGAGCTCAGAGGGAAGATGGCTTCTCTGTGGCAGCCTCACCAAGCACACTGGACAGATGACAAGCCCGCTCGTCCACCCTGCAGGCACCGTGCTGCGGTGAGGGCGTGGAGGGCCGCGGGCAGTGGGGCTGGGAGCCGGAGGGGCTGTTCTCTGCACAACCCCCCCCCCCCGCCGTGCTGTCTGCTGTCCCCATCTGCTCATCACAAGGAATGGGCCACAAAGCTCCAGGCCGTGGTGCTGACAACAGCCGACTGCTAACAGCAGTATTACTTGCAAGCTCCCTGGTCTAATTTCACATGGGACACAATGACCAGTGCAGGTGCAGTGAGTGGAGACATGTCAGAGCAGGTGGAAGTGGGCGGGCGGCGTGGGTCTGGACGGGGGCGGCAGGGTGGTCTGGACCGGGGCACCGGGGCGGCAGGGTGGTCTGGACCGGGGCACTGGGGCGGCAGGGTGGGAGCAGGGGCACTGCCCAGCCCGCCACACCCCCAGGAAGTGGGGAGCCGGTGCCACCTCCACCACGTGAAGCTGCCTCGACTACATTCTAAGATGACACCTGAAAACACAAAGTAGCCCTGGCCAGTTTGGCTTAGTGGTTGAGTGTCAGCCCCCGGATAAGAGTTGCGGGTTTAATTCCGGTCAAGGGCACGTACCTCGGATGCAGTTTGGTCCCCGGTCCTGGTCAGGGTCGAGTGGGAGGCAACCAATCGATGTGTCTCTCACATTGATGGTTCTCTCTCTCTCTCTCTCGCCCCCCCCTTCCTTTGCCCCTTCCCACTTCATCTGAAGATAAATGCAAAAATATCCTCAAGTGAGGATTTAAAAAAAAATTAAAAATACAAATGTGGCTGTTTTGTCTTAGGTGATGATGACAGCAACCTATTACTTCTACGTAGACGGCCAAGGTCCAGGGATAGCCACAGGCAACACCAACACGAGGCACCAAAAAGGCAGGTATTGCAGCCTTCACCCCCTTACATACAAGGGCAGAGCCAGGACCCACAGCTCAGACAGAGAGACTGGGCTGAAGGCCAGGCAGCCCGCCTGGGCCCCGCTGTTTGGCCCCCACAATACTGCTGGGCAGAAGCAGGCCCGAGGAGAGGGGCTGAGACCAGGTCTCCCCGGCCAGGGCTGCAGGCACCGCCCCTCATGGGTACTGCGGAGAGGATGCTGGGACAGGCCCACAGAGGAACCGAAGTCACCGGCAAAGGCCTGGACACTAGCTCAGATCCTGTTTGGGGGAGTCTATTAAAACCATGAACACAAATCTTGCACTTTGAGTTCCCGCTAGTGATTGTTCGTTCACTTAAACACAAAGGCTAGGAAGTGGAGTAGCTGAGTAAAGGTCACTGAGGCCAACACTACCGCCATGGCTGTCACAAACTGCCCCGAATGTCTCAGTGAAGGAACCACCCCGTGGGCTTGGGTCCCCCAGGAAATCTGCTCCTTCTTTTGGCCTTAAAACCTCTTTGCCATGAAGACAAAACATGGTCCCTTCATATGCAACCAAACCACAACTTTTTTTATGAACACATTTCAGTTCACCAGTGACAGAGAAGCACCCCTGCAGATCACCCTTGGGGACGCTGGCCTCTCGGGGCCATGCAGCCACCTGCGTGACACTGGACGGCACTGGGCTCCTGGCAGCTGAGGCCGGTGACTCGTCAGGCGAAGCGCAGCTTACCACGTCCAGCCCCGGAAACGAGGCTCGGCCCTTGGCCTCGATCCTCTCTTCCATCTCGTGCATGGCATCTCGGAGGACAAACCTGACGGACTCGCTCGCAGATTCAGGAAACATCTGGCAAAGGTTGTACAGTTGCCTGTTGATCAAACACAAGTCAGCGGAACAGGCTCCAGAGAAAACAAGACCCCGCCCTCTCTGTGGCCAACCCTGCTCTGGAGCCGAAGCCACACGGGACCGGCACCGACACTGCCGGCTGCAGGGTGGGCCAAGTGGCCCTGCACATGTGCTCGGTGACATGTGTGTGGCCTACGCTCAGCTCGCGGCATGGGGCACGTGTACCCGGCCTGGCCGTGTGTCTGGCGCTTCACCACGAGCTCGAGGCTCCGCAGCAGCCCGCCCGAAGAGGCGGCCGTCGCGAGGCCCCGCGCCCACTACCCTCCCCACACGGAAGCCGCGCCAGGCCTGCCCCGGCCACCGCAGGGCCAGGAGCCACCACACGGGGCTCTGCTGTCACCAGGAGCCAAAACCAGCTGTCATCCCTGCGCAGGGACAGCTGGGCAAGAGGGACGGGCTCCCCCACCAGCGCCCCAGGTCGCACGAGCCTGCTGGGTGCCACTGAAGTAGACTCGAGGTGACATCGGGACATGCCCAGAACCACGTGTTCCAATCACCCCTCAGACACCCCAGCAGAGCTTGACGTCATTGGAGAATGAAAGCGAGTCACCCTCAGATAGTATAAACAGATCTGAAGGGGTTCGGCCATCAGAGTCCTGTCTGTAGCTAAAGACATGCCCCATCCCCAGGGGGCAGAAGCAGGCTGACTGGTCAGTGACCTGTCACGGCTGAAGTCACAGCCGCTGCCGCGCCTGCAAGGCCCATGTACAAGGTCCCCTTACAAACCCTGAGGTGTATCCTCACCACTCGACGAGAATGAGATAGTTCAGCTCAGTCCCATACCCACCATGTCTACTTACACAACCAGCTTATCAATCACTTCGAGGTCTGGTGGATCATCTGTGGCCAAATCTCCAACATATTCCAAAAGGAAGCCGAACAGTTTCTGGGAGAACAGACGGGAAGAGCTCAGTGCTGAGCCGGGAATGAACCCAGGCAGATGCGGGAGGGAGGGCTCAGGCTGGAGCACGAGGGTGGCATGCACAGCGCCCCCGCCTCAGCAGGAGGCCAGGGTTCAGGTGATGCGGCGCCAGTGCAGGCCTCCCGGGCTGCCAAGGCCCAGAGCACTGCATGTCCAGGCTCTCCGCCCACTGCAGCCCCGGCCCCGCCAGCACCGTGCAGGGGTCAGGGCACGCGGCGACAGCAGCTCCCTGTGCCCGGGCACCACACAGCCCAGGGACAGAGGCCTACGCTCCCAACACTGAACCCTTCACCCCGCATACTTCTAATTTTGCCTTGTTTCCCACGGCGAGACTGGGATGGTGGCACTTCTGAATTCTCTCTACCACCAGCAGCTGCTCCTCCGCGGACTTCCCTGACAGCAGAGACTTCAGTTCCTCCGAGGACTCCGGAGCTGTGGAAACACACGCTGCACACTCACTGTTCAGCACGAGAACGACCCCTGTGCCGGGCGCAGTGTGAGGGTATTATTTCCTTTGCACAGCGAGAGACCTTTGGACTTCTGTCTACAGAAACACGAGTTTCCCGAGCCTCCCCGCGTGCTGCAGCGTCACACCTGTGTGCCGTGGGCGGGGAGGCTAAGCCTGCGGTGAGCAGCCCCTCGGAAGAGGCACCGTAAGGAAGGGTCTGAGCCTGTGCTCTGGAGGAACCTGCCTGAATACCCAATACGCTGTGAGTGCAAGGGACAGGGCGGGCCAGGAGCCCCGTGAGCAGAGCAGTGGCGTCCCCTGAGACCCCACCAGCTGGGGCCACGCCCATGGAAGCCAGCCTCGCCTGTGAGTGTGCCGTCTTGAAATAACCTGCAATCACAGGAAGGGACTGCTGGCCGGAGCTGGACCCCTTTCCTGTGTCCTGGAGAGAACACAGCGGCCTGAGCACAGGGCGCTGATACCCAGGCCTGGCCCAGGTCTCTGCAGCCGCATGCCCACGCAAGAGGCCGACACTTCCACAGGAAGGTGTGTGTCTGCCCTCTTCCCGCCTGTGTTCACTCACAAAGGCCACCAGTGTGCCAGGCCCCACAGCAACACTGGACAGACATGGAGGAGGACCACACCTGTCCACCAGCCGAGGCTTCAGCTGGACGTGTCCACGTGTCACCACAGCCCCACTCCACAGGAGCCCCAGGGGGCTGACTGATCGCCAGGCTGGACGCCATCCCCAGACCAAGGAAACCCCCCAATTTGTTACCTGCAAATGTATAGGGCAGCTCGGCTCCAGCAGCTTCTCGGGCTTCCTGACACCCAGTCTCCGGCCTTTCCCTGGGCGCCCGCCGCCGCACCCGCTCCGGCCCCACACTCTCGTCCTCGCTCTCCGCATCGCAGTCCAGGTCCAAGTGGCTGTCCGAGCCCCCGCTGCCCTCTGCGTCCTCCTCGCTCTCGTCCTCGCTCTCGTCCTCGCCCTCTTCCTCTGCGTTCCCACCGGCACTGGCTTCCCCGCTTTGCTCTTCCTGGACCTTCATCTTTCCGTCCTGGGAACACGACGGGACACCACAGGCATGTGGCCCAGGAAGACCGCGGGCGGAGCACCGGGACTGCACCCAGCGCTGCACACACCCACGTGCTTTCTCTCGCTCGCCAGCAGGGAACACAAACCTCCACTGGATCTGGGCCTCAGTGCCCACCTGCAGCTCAAACCCGACCACGGGGGAGAGGCCAGGAGCCAACCCCACACCTGCCGCCAGGATGCCGGGCCCCAGCAGCTGTGAGGTCTGCAGCAGCCAGCCAGTGGCTCTGGGGACAGCTGGTTCCGCAGGGGCTTCTTGGGATTTGGGATGCACTGGGGTGGCAGCACCCAAGGGTGACCTGTGTCCCCCAATGTGTTGTGAGCACCCAAACCCTGCCTCGGGTTCCTCTCTGCTCAGGACACCTGCCTGCCCTGCACCCTGATGGACTCACTTCGAGGGGGGGACGCGTTTGAGTCTTAGCAGTTCACGAACACTGCAGCCTCAGAAACGTCGTATTTCACCGCAGCGTTCAGAGCGCTGGCCTTGAGCGCGCTCCCGCCACGTGAACGCTGAGTTCACGCAGACAACGGGTCACTCGTTAACAGACGAGTAAGCGCGAAAGGAGCCCCAAGAGGGCAGAGTTCATGCTGCCACCTGCCCGTCTCGGGCCTGGGCCCATAAACACCAGGTGCAGGGCTGCAGGGACACACTCCGGAGGAGTCAGTTTCCACCTGAGACAAGCCTATTCAGCGAGACACCCCAAAACGTGTTTAACGTAGAAAAGGCAAACGTCTTACTTCGTAGGAGAGCAGACGCCTGTCATCCTTGTCCAGCACGAAACCATCGTTCAAGTCGTCTGCTGACACGTGTGTGGGCTTCTTCCTGTCCCCCTCCTCCTTCCCGAGCATCCTCCGGACTCTGTCCACCTGAGTAGGAGAGAGAAGTCACGTGTGGTGCTCCTCGCGGACGGGCCAGGAAGGACATTACCTGTACTTTTTTGTGTGTGATCAGAATAAAGATACTTACAAAAGAAAAAAGATACTTACAGTAAAATACACATAGTTTCAATAGCCTGAAAAGACCCCACTGACTAAAGCAGAGAGTGTCTCCCCCCCCCACTCCCCCAGCGGCCAGGTGCCTGACGCTCCGGCATCGGACCCGCACCTCGAGGCGCCGGAGCCGCTCCTGCTCCTCCTTTGCCAGCTCCTGCTCCGTTTTCATCCTGTTGCAGGGCTGTGCCTTCATCTCAAAGCCCAGCTCGCGGACCATCCTGTCGTAGGCGTCAGGCTAGGGCAGAAAGAAGGGGTGTTTCATTTTCAGTACGTGTCTTTTCTTTACACCTGCCAGGCGGTTCCCTCACGCAGCCAGGGCTGGCACCATCACGGGGACACAGAGCCACGGCAGTGTTGTTCTTGAGAGGACGCTGTTCTCATCAGTCCTGACAACACTTTCAGGTCACACAGGACTTTTCGCTCCTAGAAAGTTCTCAAAATACATCTGCTTTAATAAAACTGATCACTGCTCATCAGGCACTAAGCCCCCAGAGGTCGGGTGAAGGTAACAGCAGCAGCAAAGGTGACTCAGACGTCCTGACGCCAGGCGACCAGGCGACGACCTCCCTATTTCCTGGAGACCAGCTACTCAAACACATGCAACTGTGTCAACAGCTTAGACTAAAAGAATGTGGTAGGAACCGAACATTGTGTGGAGGGAAAAGTAAACGTGTAAATTCAAACACCGCCGGACGGTCTCCCCACTGAAGTATTTTTCATACTGAGAATTATCTTTTCTTCAATTTTTTTTGAGTAGATATTGAAATAATTGTTAGTCTGTTTCCACCCCAAAGGAACAGACAACCTGAGAAAACATCAACAGAAACTCAGGTCCTAACAGAAACGGAGACCAGGAACCTGGCCACCGCCTCCCTGCGGAGAAAGTCGACGGCAGACGCGAGCTCTGCATTGGCTTCTGCTGCTGAGTCCCACCTGCGGCTGCTCCTTTCGGTCCCTGTGCTGGGCCCGGGGCGCCTTGGGTGCCAGGAGGCTGTGGATCTCTCTCCAGTCTCGGTCCAGCCTCTCCGTGAGCTCCAGGGCGTCTTCACGCTGAGCCTGTCTCTCCCGCTGAAAAGAAGAGCCGACAGCCACAGCGTTACTGCTGGACTCGGACAGACAGCCTGCCACCGTGCCCAGGCCACTCCTGGTGACGAGCAGCCGCGCTCGCATCAACAGGACGCTGGCCACAGGTAATCAAGACCTTCTGTGCAAAGCTGCAGAGTCTCACCCGACAGCACTCGTCTCCTGCTGCACGTCAAACACCGAAACCAGCCCCGCCAGTGTGGTGTAGTGGTTAGAGCGCTGGCCCACACACCGAAGGGTAGCGGGTTCGATTCCCCGTTAAGGGCATGTACCTGGGTTGCAGGTTCAATCCCTGGCCCTGGTTGGGGCATGTGTGGGACGCAGCCCATCGATGTGTCTCTCACATCGATGTGTTTTTCTCTCTCCTCCTCCTCTCTCCCTCACTTGCACTCTAAAAACAAAATTCAATGGAAAAATATCCTCAGGTGAGGATTAACAACGACAAAAAAACCTGAAACCAACCAGCCAACCAACAAAAACCCCCCAAACCACAACAAACCAGAGTATGTGTTCAGTGGAACTAAAACCCTGAATGCTTTTACTAAAGTCAAAGACAGCAGGGGCCCCAGCCGTGGGCCGCAGGGAAGAGAGCTGCAGGGTCTCTCTGAGCGTGTTGTGGCAGCCGCTCCAGACCCAGAATGTGACCAGCGCACCTTTTCTTGTTTCGACTTCAAAATGAGCTCCTCAATCAGTTCTTTTCGGGATCTGGGTCTCTCCCCCTCCTGGCCTGGCTGATTTGAGGTCTTCTTATGAAGGAGCCCCCCGCCTCCGAAATGGGCCGCCGTTAGCTCGGCTGCGGACAGAGCAGGGGAACGGGGCTGTGAAGCCCAGGCACCGGCACAGCTCCACGCACAGCACTGGGAACCAGCCCCATGGCCAAGGAAGAACCCTCGAATCCAGTGGCGGCCTGAGACCCCAGGCACAGTGCACTTCAACACCCAAATGAGCCACCCCAGAAAACCACCCCCTGGCCCTGACCCAAGTGACTGGAAACACCACCAAAAATGGACCTTTGTTTAATTGCATTCAAATCTCGTGAAAGAGAGGCGAATGCAGGAAAACCAGCTGGGATCTGAGCCGCAGGGGGAAGGGCCAATGCTCAGGCCACCGAGACCCTCCCGGTTCCTCACACCTCTTCTGAGGCCAACGAGACCTACTGCTCTTCGTCCAGCCCAGGCACCGGGCGGAGGACAGAAATAAACACCGTGGATGTCATCGAATCGGAGTGGAAAGAAACCTTTAAAAACCCCATTTCTTGCCCTGGCCAGTTTGGCTCAGAGGTTAGAGCGTCGGCCTGCGGTCCGGAGAGACCCGGGTTCGGTTCCCGCTAAGGGCACGTACTTCGGTTGCAGTTTGTCCCTGGCCCTGGTCGGTCGTGCGGATGGCAGCCACTCGATGTGTCTCTTTCACGTTGATGTTTCTCTCTCTCTCCCCCTTCCTCTCTCTCCCTCCCACTCTATCTGTACAAAAAATGGAAAAATATCCTCGGGTGAGGATAAAAAAAAACAAAAAACAAACCCATTTCTTTATGGAATGAGAAAATGGGTTTGATGTTAAGTGATTTGCCTCAGATCTCATAGCAATAACAGAAACAGAATGTTCTAGGCTGATGTCCAGCTCTGCCGGCCCCTAGGCCAAGCAGGGTTCTAGCCCACAGCTGCCCAGCTGAAGCTGCCACCTGGTTACTGAATCAGACCACACTGCTCCCCGCCACACTCGTGCAGGCAGACGAGGCGGAGGAAGGAGACGGCCGTCACACTGGTGTTCTCCAGGCTGCCCTCACCAGAGGCTCACACTCCAGGACTCATGGCTGGATGGTTCACCAGGCCCTCTGAGCTCCTGGCTAAAATGAACTAGTGACATTCACGTAAGACAGGGTACTGACGTGCTTCCTCAGCCCACAAAAGCCTCTGTCTGGTCTGTCTCCATCTGCATCTGTTGTACACCTTCCTGAAGTTCTACAATTAAAACACAGGAAAACCGCACGGCAAGTGTGGCTCAGTGGTTGAGCGTGACCCTGCACCAAGAGTTTGCTGGTCTGATTCCCAGTCAGGGCACATGCCCAGGTTGTGGGCCCGATCCCCAGGGGGGGGCATGCGGGAGGCGGCCAATCGGTGTTCTCTCTCATTGATGTTTCCATCTCTCTCTCTCCCTTCCTCTCTCTAAAATCAATAAAGGTAAATAAATAAAACAGGAAAACCCTGCTATGTGCAGGATTTCTCGAGCAGTTCAGGATCAGTGATGCTTACCCAGTAGTACTCGTCAAGGTCCCCAGGAAGGGAGGCAGAGAGTCCCCTGGTGAGCAGACCCTGTCCCGCCCCCGCCCTCACCGGACAGCGCGCCTCGCTCCTCAGTGTCACTGTCACTGTCGACAATGTCATTATGCTTCTCGATGTCTGCCAAAGACTGGCCGTAATGAGTTAATTCTTCATCTTCGTTTAGGTTGTAGATGTTCCTTTTTTCATGTTGTCGCTGACAAGAGAAAAATAAGGTCAGTTTTCTAAAATCTCCACATCCGTTTAGCAGTAACACTCAATTACTTTTCTACTGTCTGTGCAACATGACAGCGTAGCCTCAGCCGCGTCACGGTCGCTCTGGGCCACCCGACAAGCAGGACTGCGGAAGGTGCGTCAGTTCTTGGGTCAGCCTGGCCCCCGGAAACGACCCACTGGCCACTTACTGTCCACCCACCGAGCTGAAGGCAGCGCTCTAGTCCGAACCCGAGGACACGCAACTGCCGTGCGCTCTGGGAAGGCACCCCCACCAGCGGCATCTGCGGAAGGCTGCTTCTCCTTCGGCCTCACCAGAGCAGGTACAGAACTCGAGACCCCCCCTCGTCCCCAGTGGGCAAGTGCACAGGGACATAAATGAACGAGCCCGACTTCTGCGTACAGAAGACCTCCGCCCACTGTCCCCACACCTGCTGCTCCAGAGCGAACCTCCGCGTCATCTTCTCCTCCGCGCTGATGTTGCTGTTGTATTCTCCAAAGCGCTTATCGAGAAACACATTGGACTTATCCCGCTCCTTGTATTCCTTCAGCAAAGTCTGGGTACGCTGGAAAACAGATCAGGAAACAAGCTTGGTGAGCTTGGTCCCCGAAGGGGAAATGCTTCCACAGGGCACCACGGTGGCTCTAGTGCAGTGTGAGATGACACTGCCACCAGCCACTTCCTGTTCCTTAGGCCACTGAGACCAACAGTCCAATGAAAGGGCCAATCTACTGGCTGGAAAGAGCGATCTCAATCCCCAAGGAAACGGCTGCTGCCGCATAAGGGAGACAAAGGGGCCTAGTCTGACCCCAGGGGAAACTGCAGTGCACACCCAATACTGAGAGTCAAAGAGAAATGCAGCCACCAAGGGGAACACAGAACTGAGCCTCAGAGATCACCGCGTCAGGTACAAAGCTGGAGGAGCTGAGGTCCCGGCTGAGAGGAAGGAGATTCACAACAGGAGCTGACAAGGAAGCCCTATGTCAAGTCTGACGCCATAATCAATGACGGGCACAGACTGTGGCAGCACATTTTCTTGTTGCTTGTGACATACACACATTTATTTGTATATAAGTTAATCCTTGTCATTCGCGTGTCCATATCTGCAAATGTGCCTACTCGCTGAAGTTTATTTGCAACCTCAAGCCAATCCTTGCAGCAGTTTTGTGGTCACTCATTTTGCAGGCCTCACGTGCATGAGGCGTAGGATGTGCAGCCAAGAGCGTGGACACCAAATCCCACCAGCTCCCCCACCTGGGGGACACCAACTTCTCTGCCCCCTGTGGCCTCACCTGTCAGAGGGAGATAACGGTAGTCCTGCCTCGGGCTGTCATTGGGAAACTGTAGTGTCAAGCACTTGAGTCTAGGCTGGGTCCCAGCCATAAAACTGCTCCCGGTCTCAGCTCCCTCAGGTATAAGAGGGGGTAACCACCGCAGACTGAGTGCAGACCTCCTCGCACGTCCATCCACTGCAGACTGAGTGCAGACCTCCTCGCAAGCCCATCCCACCGCAGACTGAGTGCAGACCTCCTCGCACGCCCATCCACCGCAGACTGAGTGCAGACCTCCTCGCACACCCATCCCACCGCAGACTGAGTGCAGACCTCCTCGCACACCCATCCCACCGCAGACTGAGTGCAGACCTCCTCGCACACCCATCCCACCGCAGACTGAGTGCAGACCTCCTCGCACACCCATCCCACCGCAGACTGAGTGCAGACCTCCTCGCACACCCATCCCACCGCAGACTGAGTGCAGACCTCCTCGCACGCCCATCCCACCGCAGACTGAGTGCAGACCTCCTCGCACACCCATCCCACCGCAGACTGAGTGCAGACCTCCTCGCACGCCCATCCCACCGCAGACTGAGTGCAGACCTCCTCGCATGCCCATCCACCGCAGACTGAGTGCAGACCTCCTCGCACACCCATCCCACCGCAGACTGAGTGCAGACCTCCTCGCACGCCCCTCCACCGCAGACTGAGTCCAGACCCCCTCGCACGCCCCTCCACTGCAGACTGAGTGCAGACCCCCTCGCACGCCCATCCACTGCACAGAACCAACAGAGATGCATTACCTTCTGCTACTTTACAGATTATGTTGGAAACGAGGACTGTTGTAAAGTGATGGCAGGGACGGACACCTGGTCTCTCACTCCAAAGCCTGTTCTCACTCTACATTCAAGTGCCCGTTCACTTGCCAGGGACCGTCATGAACGCAAAGACTCCTGCCTACCTTGCCAGCCCTGTTTGCCCCTCTGCACAAATCATGATCTAACTCAGCTGGAGGACCCGTGTCCATCCAGACAGCTCTGAGCTCTTGGACCTCATGCTTCAGAACATTGTCCACTGCACAGGACGACTGTGAGCCCTCAAAGCACTAAGTTTTGGCTCCTTCAGTTACTTGAGGTTTTTGTTTTTGTTTTCCTTTATTGATTTTAGAGAGAAGAAGGAACAGGGAAAGAGAGATAGAAACATTGATGATAGAGAACATCAACTGGCCACCTCCTGCATGCCTCCCACTGGGGATAAGGCTCACAACCTGGGCATGTGTCCTGACCAGAAATCGAACCTCTTGGTGCAGGGTCTACGCTCAACCGCTGAGTCACACCAGACCAATTACTTGAGTTTGTACTGTGGGCCAAGTATGGAGGGTTCAGAGGCAGCAACAGCATGCCCTCCTCCTGGCCATTCGCCCCCAGACCTTTAGCACAGAAAGAGGTGGGCGTGTCAGACACTAGAGGCATGGGCACCCCATCCTATTTGGGTTATGGTGCTTGGGCAAGTATCAGAGTGGTGGCTTGGGCTGGCCTTTAGAAGATTTAGGGGCTGAAACAGGTCTTTTTGGACAAAATTGAGTTGCAAAAGGCAAAACGAGGACAATAGCTAGGGGCCAAATTGTGAAGTAGTCTGAGAATAACAAGCTGAGAAGTTTAAGAATAATAGCTAGTATTTAGGAAGCACTTACTATGTGCTAAGTACACATTTTCCTTAATTCTTATAACCACCACAAGAGTGAGGCTGTTATTATTCCACTTTAGAGGCGTAAGGGAACACAAACGTGTCTATGTCAGAGGCGCCTGCCCTGGGTGTGTGTGGGAGACCTGCTGAAGTCCGTTGGAAGTTTGTCTTGTGTCCTGTTCATACTGCCCGCCCCTTGTAGTAGGATGACATCTGATCAAAACCCAAGATGCACTGGGATCGCACACTGTGTGACGGAATATAGATTATGTGCGCTTGAAGGCAGAAGCCAAGTCTTAATTCATCTTTATCTCCCCAGCAGACAAAACAGAACTTAAATGTAAGTGCTCCGTGGAGCATAAAGGCGCCACAGACATTTAAACGGGGAGGGAGCCCCAGCCCCGACCAGTTGTGTGATGTTAGTAAATTCACTTGTCCTTCTGGGCCTTCACTTTTTCATCAACCAACTAACGTATCTTCTCCAGCGGAACAATAAATATTGTTCAACAAATCAATGAACAGGTCCCGGGACCCACACAGAATGCCACCTGAATCTGAAAGGCCCGGTACACTCTAGGACCACAGACGGAAGCTGTGACACTTTCCACAGAAGGCAACTGAAATGATGTTACCCAGCAAGGGACAAGGTCATGTGTTTCAAAGGAGAGACACTCTCATCAAACACCTACTGAGCACCCTGTGTGATCCCCTATCCTGTGAAGAACCAGACCCGTGGTCCCAAGAGCGCCAAGTCTAGAGGAGGAAAGGGGGTACAGGTCTGTACAGATGCATAGCAGCAGCAGGAGTGCGCGAAGAGTCACACCTGTGTGCTGGGCCTGGGGGGGGGGCAGTTTTCCAGGGGAGGTCATGCCAGCCCCTGCAGAAGCAGAGGCTGAAGACAGGCACAGTCTGACACAGGACGTATAGCTGGTGACACAGCTGTGCCCGGCGCGGTCCCAAGGATGTTCAAGGAACACATCTGATGCTCCCAACAGCCCAGGATGTAGGCATTATCACCATTTCCACTTTACAGCGGGGAAAATGAGGCACAGAGAAAAAGCCAATGGGTGTCTCAAGTCCCGGGGGTCCAGCTCCCGAGTCTGCGGCGCGGTCAGAACGTCAAGAAACACGCCGAGGAGGGTGGTGGGCCGGGCCGGGCCAGGGGCCGGGCCGGGTGCCGCGCTGCCCAACGGACCCGCAAGGCCAGGCGCCGGCCCAGCTGGCACGCGCGGCGCCGGCAGGGACGGCCACCGGGGAGGGGCGCCCCCTTACCTTCTGGATGGCCCGTGCGCGCGACACTCCGGGCAGCCCCACGTCGTGGCGCGTCTTCCTGCCCAGAACCTGGAACTTCTGCCTGTTGACTTTCACCTCGAACGGGTTGGGGTTGGGCCTGGCCCGGCCGCCCCGCGCTCCCGCCGGGGCCCTGGGGGCCTTGGCGCGCGCCGCGGCCGCCCTGGCCTTCCCCATGACCTAGTCTGGCCGCACCCCGAGGCGCCCGACTCCGCACGGCCTGGGAGACCCGGGGGAGGCCAGCTGACGGCCCACGACAGCCGGCGCCGAGCGGGTCCCTTCGGGAAACACGTGCGGGGCCCCGGGCGTCGACCCCGCCCTCGTGTCGCGATAACTGAGCCGGCGACGAGCACACCCATCCGGCTCGGCCCACTCGCCGGTGGGCTGAGCGACTACAACTCCCGGCAGGCCAGGCGGCCCGCTTCCGCCCCGCGCGGGGCCTTCTGGGAGCGGCAGTGCGCGCGGGGCCTTCTGGGAGCGGCAGTGCCCCGCGCGGCGCCGCAGCCGCCTCAGGTGGGGGCGAGGGGGCGCCGGAGCGCCGTCCTCTGGAAGCCGTTAGCGGGGAGCCGGCCGCGCTGCGAGAAGGCGGCGGCGGCGGCGGCGGCGGCGGCAGTAGCCGTCGCCGCCGGGGGCGGCGGCCCTGCCGGCGAGCCTTGCCCGGGCGTCGGGCTCCGCGGAGACTGCAGGCCCGGAGGAGAGTTAGGCGCGCGCGGCGAGGCTGATGGGGCCGCGAGCGCGGGCGGAGGCGCGGCGGTGGTAGCCCCGGAGAAGCACGGCGGCGGGCCTGCGGGCGCCGCTCGCCCCGGAGCCCCGAACCGGCGGCAGCCTGCGCGGCGGCGGCGGCGCGGCCGGCGGGCCCGCGGCCGGCGGCGCTCGTGGCGCCTGTGGCCGTGGTCGTGGCCCCAGGGGCGGTGCCAGGTCGACTCCTACGGGCGGTGTGTGCGGCGCGGCCGGCCGGCGGCGCCCGCGGGCCCTCGGACCCGCGCACCCTGGCTGTGGCAGCGGCGGTCCATGGAGCCGGAGAACCTCGCGGCCAACTCGCTCCTGCTGAAAGCGCGCCTGGGTGGGTGCCCGCGGCCCGAGCGCGCAGGTGTCCGCCGAGCGGGGGCGGGCGGAGGTCGGTCAGCCCGCCCGCCGGGCGTCGGCAGCGCGGGGAGAGCCGGGACGCAGCGGTGGGGTCGCCCTCTCCGGCCGTGCGGACCCCGAGCCCGAAACGCCGGGCGGGGGGCCCGGGGGCGCGCTGGGGTTCATTTGTAGCCGCTCTCATGCTGAGGGGCACACGGAGGCCCCCCTCTGCGTGTGCGCCTGGGTAGGAGAGCCGGGGTGGGGGGGAGCCCCGGGCGTGGGGGGCTCCTCGGGGCGCGGGCAGGTCCGCTGCGGCTCCACCCGTGCCCTTCCCACCCTGCCGCCCTCGGGCTGTCGCGCCAGCTGTAGAGGTGGGGCAAGGGGGTGGGTGGAATGCCCCACACGTGGTGAGTAACACCGCCCAGCATTTTCTGCCGGAAAGCCTAGGACCAAAGTCATCTTTCCAGATTTTTAATTTTTCTTCCTTAAAGTGTTATGAACACTGTTGGCTGGGGGCCGACCTCTTAGGAGTGTTCAGCTCTGTGTTCAGAAGACTCAGTGGGGTTGATGCTTAGAGAGGTTGACTATGAAATACCAGCAAGAGGTACATGGGTTCTGAGTGTTCGTTATAATTTAGGGCTGTTTTCCCAAGTTGAAAACTACTTAATTTGCTTTAGAGGCTTAGGGAGTATTTTCCAGGAAGTGTCTTCTTGGCCACATGTCTGTTCACGGCCAGCTCCTCCTCTAGTTTTTTCTGGCTCGGGTATGAGAACACTGACTTTTGAAGATAGCACGATAGTTGTATGTTGGGCCTGGGAATTGCATTGTCGATTTAATGTTATCAGTGAGCCCAGTGATTTTCTAAATTTATGTAAAATAAAACCAGTCCCTCTCTGGTCTCAAACAGAACATTTGTGAGAGGCTTTCCTCCTTTCAGGGATGTTGCTACTAGCCAGTATCAGGAGGATCACTTTGTAAAGTCTATAAATGCTGCACATCTGAAACTAGCATGATGCAGGGTGGGGCAAAAGTAGGCTTACAACTGTAAGTATGTGAAATGTAGAGTTTAATCGTGTATTGTTAATTATTAATTATTGTATTATTTTCCATGCAAACAACTGCAAACCTATTTTTTCCCTACCCTGTATTGAATGTCAACTGTAATTGGGAAAAAATTGCTAATTTTGGCACAGATGATGTTGCATTGAAAAAGTTGTTTGTGTGTCATATGCTAGGCACACTCTAGGCAAGTGTGAAATAATCACATTGTTAATAAAATAAAACACAACAGCCACTGCTATTAAAAAATAGATTACAAAAATTTTTTTTCTTTATTGATTTTAAAGAGAGAGGAAGGGAGAGAGAGATAGAAACATCGATTGGCCACCGCCTGTGTGCCCTCCATTGGAGATCATCAGGCCCACAACCTGGGCATGTGCCAGACCAGGAATTGAACCAGCGACCTCTTGGTGCATGGGTTGATGCTCAACCACTGAGCCACACTGGCCAGGCGAAAAATAGGTATTTTTGTGTATGAAACATTTGTTAAGCAATTTATGACCTTTAATTGCTTTAATGATACTTTTTTTTTCCTTTAAATGTTTTTTTACTGATTTTTTAGAGAGAGAGAGGAAGGGGAAAAAAGAAACATTGATTAGTTGCCTCCTGTACACACCCCAACTGGGGACCAAACCCCCAACTTGGGCATGTGCCCTGACTGGAAATCGAACTGGTGCCTTTTTGGTGAATGTGACAACGCTCAACCAACCGAGCCACACTGGCCAGGGCTAAGTGATAATAAATTGTTTCACGTACTTCTCAGGAGACTTTAACCCCATTTTATCTCTTGGAAAAATTGACAGCATAGATGTAGAGGTTAGAATATATGACATGTACACCTAATCAGGTTTTGTCCTGTATATAGCAATTTCAATCTGATTGTAGGCTGTAGGGTTACTTAGCAGTTTGTTTAGCACCTGAAGCATAATTAATACACCTGTCATTGTTAATGTTCTCTCTTGCTGAGGCTTCTTCCCCAGGATTTGTGGTTGCACAGGGTTTCTAAAAGTAGCTTATAAACCCTTTGATTCCAGAGGTGTATATATAGTAGCGAACATTTTTGTTTCCCTCATTGCGCTAAATTTGTTCCCACGCCTAGAGCTACTTCATGCATTCTTGTGGAAATGAACAACTTTGTTCATTCAGACACATTCTAGTTTGCTTTCTATTCCAACCTCTGTGCAGTGGGCCCTTCTTGCTTGTTTAGTTTTTTCTATCCTTCAGGGTCCAGTTTACCTTCATCATCGTCTTTTTCTTTTTCTTTTTGGTTAATCCTCACCGGAGGATATTTTTCCATTGATTTTTGATAGAGTAGAAGGGAGGGAGGGAGAGAGAAAGAGAGAGAATCATCAATGTGAGAGAGACACATCAATTGGTTGCCTCCTGCACAACCCCCACCAGGGCCAGGCTCGAACCTGCAACCCAGGTACATGTGCTTGACCAGGAATCAAACCCTTGACCTTTCTGTCCGCAGGCTGACGCTCTAACCACTGAGCAAAACTGGCCAGGGTGTCATCCTCTTCTTTGTAGCTTTCTTCTAGCCTGGAGATACTCTGCCCTTTGGGAATTGGGAATTTGTGTTTCTTAACACAGTACAGTCAAATGATTTTTTTCTCAGGCTAAATTGAAATCTGTAAGGTCAGGGCATAGCTTTTTATCTTTATATTGTATCTCAGTGTTAACCATTTAATTGGTACTTAGTAAAGAATTGGAGATTAACGGGTGAGTTGTTATTTTGTTAAATTCAAGAAAAAGAAGGTAAAATATGTACCTCCAAGTACAGTCCCCTTATTGCATCATGGCCCCATTTTTCCAGTGTCATTACTTGGGTTCAAATCCCAGTTTCCCTGTTTACTGGCTATAACTGCTTTGGAGAAATATTACATATTTGTGTCTTAGTTTTCTCACCTGTAAAATTAGAATTATAACAAGAACATAGCAACAGTATATCTCATTGAATTGATGGAGGATTTAGTGAGTGTAGACTTCTGAAACTCAGAAAAGTATCTGGCTTATAGTAAAAGCCATTAGTGGGAGTAGTTTTTAATAATTGGATATTTCTGACCATTTAAAAAATGCCTCTTTTCCCCCCAAAATTTAGGAGGATATGGCAAAAAAAGTAGTCGTAGTAAAAAATGGAGGGAGATGCTGAAGCTGCCCCCTGTTAGCCAGTGCAGTCATCTCAGACATTCTATCGGTGAGTAAAGAACCCGCTGTGTCTGGAGGCTCATCTGACACTGTACCATTCGTTAGACGTTTTTCTTGAGCTCCTTACTTGTTTCAAAAGTTGTATAGTCGGTTCCATTTATATCTTCTTGATTCTTCCCAAGAAAAAATACCCTGTTGGTTTTCTAATCTTAGTTATAAAGTGTATGGCTACATAAGTGAACACTGTTAACTGTTTCTCAGTCTCTTTCCACACAGTTCTCTATGCATATGGACAAGAATGATTGATAATAACTTCAGGAAAGGATTAGTCAGATAAAATATGATACACCAGTGTAATGGAACACTGGCTGGAAAGAATGAGAGTTAGCTATAGGTCCTGTTATGAGCACAAGAGGTCACATGTAGAACCATGTCTGAAGGGCGGTCATAATTGTATTTTTTAAAAGATATGATATAGTTCAAAGGGTATGTACATTGAGAATTTTAATGTTGCCAAATTACTCTCCGAAGAGGGAAGTATCAATTTACTTTCCTGCAAACCATGTATGATAAGTTTTCTTTGTCTGTGACCTTGTTAATGTATTATTAATGCTGTTATCAATATATTTAATAAAGATAAATAAACTATGACAAAAAATGCCTCGTTTTAATTATGAATGGGGTTGAGCATTTTCATCGTTTTAAAAATATTTGCCTTTTTAAGCTTCTGCACAGCAAAAGAAACAACCATCAAAATGGAAAGGCAACCCACTGTATGGGAGAACATCATTGCCAATGATACATTAGATAAGAGGTTAATTTCCAAAATATATGGAGTACTCATACAACTCAACAAAAGGAAGACAACCCAATTAAAAAATGGGCAGAGGAACTAGACACCTCTTCAAACAGGACATACAAATGGCTAAGAGACATATGAAGAAATGTTCAACATCACTAATCATCAGAGAGATGCAAAGTAAAACAACAATGAGGTATCACCTCACACCTGTCAGAATGGCCGCCATCAACAAATAACAAGTGTTGGTGAGGGTGTGGAGAAAAGGGGAGTCTAGTACACTGCTGGTGGGAATGCAGACTGATGCAGCTACTATGGGAAACAATATGATGTTACCTCAAAAAATTAAAAATTGAACTTCCATTTGACCCAGTGTTCCCACTTCTAGGAATATACCCTAAGAAGCCTGAAACATCAATCAGAAAGAATATATGTATCACCATGTTCATAGCAGCACTATTTACAATCGCTCAGATCTGGAAACAGCCCAAGTGTTCATCAGTAGACGAATGGATAAAAAAGCTGTAGTACATATACACAGTGGAGTACTATGCAGCTGTAAGAAAGATCTCTTATCCTTTGAGACAAAATGGAGGGACCTGAAGTATTATCCTAAGTGAAACAAGCCAAGCAGAAAAAGACAAATACTGCCCTGGCCGGTTTGGCTCAGCGGTTAGAGCGTCGGCCTGCGGTACAGAGAAAAAGACAAATACCACATGATCTCACTTATTTGTGGAATATAATGAACACAACAGTCTGAGGAATAGGGTAGACCCAGAAACATGGAAGTAGGGTACAGACTGACAACCCTCAGAAGAGGGGGTGGTGAGGGGAGGGTAGAGATAAACCACAGAACTTAAATGCATGTACGCATAACCAATGGACATGGACAGCAAAGCCAGGGAACGGGGGGGGGGGGGGGGGGGGGTGTCAATGGGGTAAAAAACATCTGTAACAACAACAAAAAAATTCTACCCTGGCTAATTTGGCTCAGCAGTTAGGGCGTCGGCCTGCAGTTCAGAAAGACCCAGGTTCAGTTCTCGCTAAGGGCATGTACCTTGATTGCAGTTTGTCCCCGGCCCTGGTTGGGTTGTGCAGGGGGCAGCCACTCGATGTGTTCCTTTCACGTCGATGTCTCTCTCTCTCTCCCTCCCACTCTATCTGAACAAAAAAAATGGAAAAAATGTCCTAAGGTGAGGATAAAAAAAACAAAAACAAACCCCAAAGAGGAAAAAAAAAAGTTTGCCTTTTAAAACTAATTTTTAAAAGCTCTTTATATATGAAAGGAATCTACAGAGGCTTTAATATTTTATGTAGACAAATATATCAGTCTTCAGGACTGAGGGGTCCCCAACCCACACCAGGCACCCCGCTCAGGGTTCCAGTGCCAGGAAGAGAATCCCCATAACTTCTGGCTGGAAAAACCAGCAGGAACTGAGGCTCAAGGAGGCTGAGGCAGCTGGAGCCCCAGGCAGCTCCTCTTAAAGGGCCCACGCATGGACTTATCGGATTCTCTCCCTCTAAGCTGGGAGGGGAGGCAGTTGGAGGGACACCAGAGACAAACAGGAAAGAACTGAGCTGTTTAGCATTGGAGCAAGGGCTGGAGAGGGGGCTTTCTCCGGGACAGACATGCAGTCAGAGGCCTTTGTTCCTTTGGTGAGCCCTTCCCTGGGGCGGCAGACAGCCGCCATATCTGGGACTCCAACAACTTGGCTCACACTAGTTGCCCCGCCCTGGTGATTCCCTGAGGTCCCGCCCACCCAACTTTCAGGCCCACCCAAGCTGTTGCCAGTTGGTTAACCGTAGGATTGGACTGTCTTGGATCCTGCTTCAGGTTTTCCTAAGTTCTTTCAAACAAGCAACATCTGGTCTCAGCTAGCCCCATACCTCTTGTTAAGTAATACATAGAAACAAATACAGGAAGGCAGCCAAAATAAGGAGACAAAGAAACAGATCCCAAATGAAAGAACAGAACAAAACCCCAGGAAAGGAATCAGCAAAATGGAGATAAACAGCCTAACAGATGCTGAATTCAAAATACTGCTTATAAGGATGTTCAATGAACTTAGTGAGAACCTCAGCGAACTTAGTGAGGGCCTCAAGAGCATAAAAAAGGACCAGCCAGAAATGAAGAAGGCACTAACTGAAATAAAGAATAATTTACACAGATTTGCCCTGGCCAGTTTGGCTCAGCAGTTAGAGCGTCAGCCTGCGGTCCGGAGAGACCCGGGTTCGGTTCCCGCTAAGGGCACGTACTTCGGTTGCAGTTTGTCCCCGGCCCTGGTTGGTCGTGCGGGTGGCAGCCACTCGATGTGTCCTTTCACGTCGATGTTTCTCACTCTCTCTCCCTCCCACTCTATCTGTACAAAAAATGGAAAAAATATCCTCGGGTGAGGATAAGAAGAAAAAAAAAAAGAAAGAATAATTTACACAGATTCAATAGTAGAGTAGGTAAAGCCAAGAAGCAAACCATCGATTTGGAATATAAGGAAGCAAAAAACACCCAATCAGAACAGCAAAAAGAAAAAAGAATCCAAAAAAAGTGAGGGTAGTGTAAGGAGCCTCTGGGACAACTTCAAGCGTGCCAACATTCACATCTTGGGGATGCCAGGAGAAGAGCGAGAACAAGAAAACCTGTTTGAAACAATAATGGCAGAAAACTTCCCTAACTTGGTGAAGAAAACAGACATACATATCCAGGAAGCACAGAGCGTTTCAAACAAGATGAACCCCAAGAAGCCCACATCAAGACACATCATCATCAAAATGCAAAAGGTTCAAGACAGACAATCTTAAAAGTAGCAAGAGAAAAGCAGTTAGTTACCTATAAGGGAGTTCCCATAAGGGAGTTCCCATAAGACTGTCAGCTGATTTCTCAAAAGAAACTTTGCAGGCCAGAAGGGAGTGGCAAGAAATATTCAGAGTGATGAAAAGCAAGAACCTACAACCAAGATTACTCTATCCTGCAAAGCTATCCTTTAGAATCGATGGCCATATAGAGTTTCCCAGACAAGGAAAAGCTAAAGGAGTTCATCACCACCAAACCATTATTATATGAAATGATGAAGGGTCTTTTTGAAGAAAAAGATAAAATATATAAACAAACAAAATTACGATGAATACATAGCTATCAACAATTGAATCTACAAACAAAAAGAACAAGCAGAACAAACATTCTCATAGATATAGAGAATATTTTGTTGGTTGCCAGATGGGAGGGGGGATGGGAGAATGGGTGAAAAAGGTGAAGGGATTAAGAAGTACAAATTGGTTGCTAGAATGACAAACCTCAAAGGGAAGGGGGGTTGGAGGTGGGAAGAAATAAACCAAAGAACTTATATGCATATATGCATAACCAATGGACACAGACAACAGTGTGGGGAAAGGCAGGAGGGGGGCGGGAGTGGGGAGGAGGGGGTCAATGGGGGGAAAAAGAAGAACATCTGTAATACATTAAACAATAAAAATATAATTAAATATATATATATATATATATCAGTTTTCTTCTTAGTTTCTGAACTTAGTGATGTGCTTAGGGAGGAAACCTAAGATTATTTTTTCTAAATGCCACCCGCACCACCAACCAGGGCCGGGGACAAACTGCAACCAAGGTACGCGCCCTTAGCGGAAACCGAACCCGGGTCTCTCAGGACCGCAGGCTGAAATATTTTAACTATCACAATTAATTTCAGACAGTATAAAGTGGAGGTAGTTTCCCCCTACCAAAGACCTATCTAGTTGTTTCAATCTCATTATGTATTTAAAGCTTAATTTTTTAAAATATATTTTTGATATATTTTTATTGATTTTTTAGAGAGAGAGAGAAATATCAGTGTGAGAGAAACATCAGTTGGTTGCCTTCTGCACCTTCCCCCCTTGTGGCGACTGATCCCATAACCCGGGCATGTGCCCTAACCAGGAATCAAACCAGGACCTCTTAGTCCATGGGATGACAATCCACTGAGCCACATGGGCAGGGCGGCCTTTATTTATTTTTTTAAGTTTATTTTTTTATTGTTGACAATATACAGATGTCCCCTATTTCCTCCCACATCCTCCCTCCACCCAGCCCCAGCCTCATCCCAGGCCTTCACCACACTATTGTCTGTGTCTATGGGCTGTGCATATAAGTGTGTAAGTTCTTTGGTTATCACTTCTCACCATCCCCCACACCCTGAGATGTGTCAGTCTATTCCATGCTTTCATGCCTCAGGACCTGTTTTGTTCGTTCAATTTATTTTGTTCATTGG